CCAAGTGTGGGCGAGAGGAGGGGGGGACGGAGGAGACTGAGAACGAGGGAAGACAGCCGGAGTGGAGTCCGGAGGAGGAAACGTAGGACCGAACACAGGAGGAGAGGAGGGGAGACCAAGGGCCCGAAGGCCAGAAACAGGTGCCGGAGGCTGCTCCGGCTGCTGCGGCTGCTGCTGCTGCTGCTGCTGCTGCTGCTCTCGCTGCAACTCCAACCTCTCACGCTCCACCCGCTGCTGAACCTCCAACCTCTCACGCTCCAAACGCTGCTGCTCCTCACGCTCAAGACGAAGACGGGCCTGGTGTCGAGTCGGGTAAGGGTGAGGAGGAGGAGTGGTGTCAGGAGACGACGAAGAAGAACCTGCTCCGCCCTCGACAGAACCCGGCTGAGCACCCCCAGAGCGAGTAACCCTCGCAGCAGCACGACCAGCACCTGTAGGAGGTGTACCCGCACCCCCAGCCGTGGTGCCCCCAGTAGCGCCAGCACCAGTTTCAGACTCTCCAGCTCCAGAAACACCACCAGCTCCAGCACCACCACCAGCTCCAGTACCCTCGGAACGGGCAGCTGCGGCAGGTGCACGCTCAGCGCCAACGCCAACACCCCCAGAACTGGCTGCTCCTGTAGGTGCACGAACAGCTCCAACGCCAGCACCCCCAGAGCGAGCACCGCCAGAGCCCTCTCCTCGAGCACCAACACCCTCAGAGTCCGCAGTGGCCGGTGAAGGAAGCGGCGACGGCTGCTACAGAGGCGGTGAGGACGACAATGGGGAAGGAGGAGAGACCTGGGGGGGTACCGAGGGAGGGGGAGTAGCGTGGGACACACCAGACGGAGCGGGAACAGGGGGGGGTACCGGAGGAGTAGGGTCGGGAGGAGGAGGAGCTGGAGCCAGGAAGAGGGGAGGGGGGGGAACCGGGAGACCTCGAGAGGGGTACCTGACGTAGTAGGGGACGGACTCGTCGAAACGGACGTCACGAGAGTCAAAGAACCGGTGGGAGGGTGGGTGGTAAAAGGTGAAGTCAGAGGAGCCCTCTGGGAAACCAAGGAAGACACAGGGGACGGCGCGAGGCGAGATCTTGTCCGCAGAGGTGTCGCGGACAAGAGCCAAGCAGCCCCAGACACTAAACCTCGACGCAACACCAGGGGACCCTGTCCAAAGACTGGTCGGTGAAGCCCCTGGCCGAGAGACGCGAGGCCAGAGGTTCAGCTGGTGAGCGGCGTACCGAGCCGCGTAGGGCCACAGAAAATGGGGCACGCGGGCGTGGATCATGGAGGTGCGGGCGATCTCCATGACCAGGCCTAAGCGGCGCTCAGCAACCCCATTCTGCTGTGGAGAGTCTGGAAGAGTCCAGGACTGGGTGATGCCCTGCTCAGCACAGAATCTGGCGAGAATGCCGGAGCGAAACTCACCCCCACGGTCGGAGTGCCCTCGGTGGCGAGGAGCCACCGGATCAGCGTAGAAGTCACGTCGGACTTCTTCGCCAAGGGGAACACGGTGGTGTACCGAGAGTAATCGTCAACGACCACCAGAAAGAAACTCTCCCGCTCAGGGCCAAGGCGGGAGGCGGGGCCCCAGACGTCTAAGTGGAGTGTCTGGAAGGGCTCGGTGGCCGGACGAAGGGAGGAGGAGTGAGGGGTGGCGCGAAGCCGACCCTGGACACACGGACGCACGGAGGAGCTGGGGACGGCGGGAGTGGTGGGAGGACTCGGGGGAGGCCTAAGACAAGACGCTGACTGGACATGGCGCGCAGACGAGGAAGGGACGGGTGCCCCATCCGGTGGTGCCACAGAACGGTGGGGTGGGCAAGCGACCGACACGAGCACGACGCAGCAACTACACCTGACACAGCAACCTGACTGGACCCGGCTACCTGGTGGGACGGGGGAACCTGACGGGGGTCGGTGCGGAGGGTGTACAGACCAGAGCCCGGCTCCTGGCGGAAAGTGGCCAAGGGGGCGTACGTGTCACCGTCGACGCAGACTGCGGTGTCACCAGAAGGCTCAACCCAGACCCCGACGTGCTGTCTCGCCAGGGTGCCCACACCAACCAGGTTCCTAGAGAACGTAGGAACGTGGAGGCCGGTCAGGGAACCAGAAGGAGCAGCTGGGCACGGGAGTGTAGTGGCGTGAGTCGCAATGACCGGGGATCGGCCAGTGCTACAGGGACAGGCGCCGGTAGCGGAGAGAGAGTCGTGCAGTCGCGGAAGAAGCAGTGCGACGCTCCTGAGTCCAGTGTGAAGGAGAGAGACGCGTCCGCCGAGGGAGTACCTGTACTAGTAGCTAAACAAGATCCTACACTAGCACCTACTCTAGCAACAGGCAAGTACACAGATCCAGGAGCACTATAGTCAACATCAGCATACATGGCATATGACCTAGCATCATCCATAGTCATATCAAAAACAGCAATACCACGAGCAAGAAGCGTCCCCCAGCGTGGCGGCGGGGGAGCGGAGGGGCCGTGGTGCAAGAGGTAGAGGTCGTCGAGACGACTGAAGCAGCGTGCAGCAGAGTGGTCGGGGCGGCCACAGTACGAGTCCCTACGAGGACCCGTAAGGATCCAGTACTCACAGGGACCAACGTCGCGGCCGGCCGCGCGAGGTCCCCGACTGGAGGGGGCGCCACTGCGCCCAGTGCTCGGGGGACCCGCAGACCTCCACTGCTGCTGAGGGCCCCACTGCTGCGGAGGGCCCCACTGCTGAGGCTGCTGCTGCGGTAGGCGCTGCTGCTGCTGCTGTCCCTGCCGCTGCTGCTGTCCAGGCGGTGGCAGCTGCTGAGGAGTCGGCTGCTGCTGCTGCTGGAACCCCTCACCACCAGTGAAAACTCCACCGTCGAAAGGAGGGCCGTCAGGTCCGGGCCACCCCCACCACCACTCCCACCACCTGCTCCACCGCCACCGCCACTACCCGCACCACCTCCAGTACCCCCGCCGCCCTTCCCGCCCTTCTTGCCGGCCTTGCCACGTTTCTGTCCGCCAGAGACAGAAACAGCCGCCGTCTCCTCAGAGGCAGAAGACGTGGGAGTGGCAAGGGAGGCAGAGAAGGTGGGAAGCTGTGGTACCGCGCACCCCTCAAAAAGACGAGGAGGAGGCGCGGAAGAGGCAGAGGCAACGGTGAGGAGGTTACTCTCGATCTTCGAGAGAGCAGTCTCAAGAAGATCGATGGTAAGCTCAGTGGGGTGCTTCAGAAGAAGCGCGTCGCGGGCTGTGGCTAGGCGGTCAGGGAGGCGAGTGACTAGCCAGTGAATAGTGAGCCATTTAGGGGGCGGGGCAAGGGCAAGCTGGTCCTCAGTGCAAGCAGCGTGAAAGCAAGCGTCAAGGGAGCGCAGGTGAGTAGCGAGGTCAGAGACAGTCTCAAAGGAGGCGAGGTCAGGGTAGATAAAGGGTACGAGGAGGCGACTGAGCGACGCAGAGGAGGGAGTAGAGTAGCGAGCAACAATAGCCTTATACAGATCTGCAGCAGACTCGACCTGAGCGAAGTGGACTGCCTCTGTCGGCGGGAGAAGGTCGGTCAGGGCGAGGCAGGCAGCGGCGTCACGAGACTCCCACACGTCGCGAGCGAGGAGCTGGCGCTGGTAGTCGGCCTCCTGCTCAGAAGTAGGCGGTGGGGTAGTGGGCAGCGGCTGAGGCTGCGGAGGGGCGGTCTGAGTGCCGGACGCGTGCGCGCGCAGGTGCACGCCATCCTGCCGCTGGCTCTTAAGGTGGCGCTGCGCCTGCGTAAGCCACGTACTAAAGTCAACAGGTCTCCCCTCAGGGTCAAAGCGAAGAACTCGGGAGGTCGCCATAGGGGGCGAAAGTGAGAGAACGCGGCTGCCAGCCGCGGGAGGGTGAGACAGTCAGAGGCGTGTGAGCAGGCGCGCAGGCGTGCAGGCGGGCAGGCGGCATGGCATGCGGACAGGCGAGTGGCGCGGCGCACAGGCTGGCGGGCGGCGCAGCGCGCTGGCTGGCGGGCGGCGCGGCGCGCTGGCCTGCGGGCGGCGCGGCGCGCGGGTCGGCGGGCGGCGCGGCGGGTAGCGGAGTGCACTGGCGCGCGCATCGGCGTGACGCGCTGGCGTGCGCGTCGGCGTGGCGCGCTGGCGTGCGCGCTGGCGTGGCGCGCTGGCGTGCGCGTCGGCGTGGCGCGCTGGCGTGCGCGCTGGCGTGGCGCGCTGGCGTGCGCGCTGGCGTACGGGCTGGCTAGCGCGAATAGGGCAGACGGGGAGGAGGGAAGGTACGCCAAGGCTAGAGACGGCCTAAGGCTAGGAACGGCGAATACTGGGCGGGGCCTAGGAACGGCTAACCTACTGCTGATACCATCTCAGAAACAGAATACAGCGGAATGAGTAGGATTGATTGGGTTGGGGTACATATGCCTAACCCTTACTGTTTGTACCCCATCTAGCATGACCCACAACAGGCTATAACATTTGACAGTTTGTCCCGTAAAACAATTTTCTGGCCCGAAGGTTAATTCACAGTGAATTGCGTCAGATGGTAACAAGAGAACACGTGTTGAAAACTTTGCCCTGCAGGACCAGTTTTGAACACACTTTGGGCCTCGCGTGAGCGAAATGCCAGAAAGTGGTCCCTTTTTAGTAAACTTGGGGGTAAATATGAGAAAAATCTGAAACTATGGATCTGGGATATAGTTTCCCGAAAATAAACAAGTTGATTATTGTGAAGAAAAATCTCCTCGATGTTGGGAAACCTTGAAGTTGGTGAGCAGGTGTGTGGTGTTTGGCGGGAAACCCTGAGTTCAACGGTTAGTTGGTGTACTCGTTAGTGTAATGCCTCAACCTATGTAGACTTCAGTTTTGTGGAAATGGTCATTGATCAAGGACCACAAAAACGTGGAGAACAAATCAAGACAAGGCATCTTGTCAGGTGGAATATACATAAGGTGGCTATTGGGTGAAATTAGTTTGTTTTGGTGAGTGCACAGCACGCGGCGTGCCGCCCACTTTGTCGTATGCAGCAAAAAACACCTGGTCGGTGTCAGTGAGTGAGTGAGTGAGTGGTGGTGACTTTCAGCTGCTTTCTGCTGCTCTGATCCAGGGATGGGCTGACAAGGGAAGCATGGGAGGTGGAAGATGACAGAGGATGGAGAGGACGACCGTTAATGATATTCTGTTAGCGAAGAAAAGAGCACCTGGGGGACACTTCCCTTTGTTAATCAACAAAGCTGACAAACAATTGAATGGGGAGTGAAGGTTGGTGATTCAAAAACAGAGTTGAGAGGGAGAAAAGAAGACAACAAACAAACCGTCACAAACGAACCGGTACAAGAAAAAAGGAGTGGGTGTAACGTGCACGCATGCCACCACTCACCGAAAATCTCCAGCGCAGTTATTCTCTTCGTCGGGTCCTTCTCCAGCATCCTCAGAATCAAATCCTTGGCGCCATCCGAGATCGCCGCCCACCTCGGGTGCCGGAAATCCACATGCGCCGTCCGGATCTTGCGCTCCAGGTCAGCGTTAGTGGCCGCCCAAAAAGGCGGGAAACCGCAGAGCAGAATGTACAGTACCACGCCGGCGCTCCAGATGTCTGCTTCGGGCCCGTAGGCTCGGTCCAGCACCTCTGGTGCTGTGTACTCCACTGTCCCTGCTCGGTCCATTCTCAAGGTACCTGGGGATGCGATATAGAGGGCACAGGGGGGAGGGGGAGCTGGTGAGGCGATGTGCATTCATGGCCATTCGTTCGTGACCATTCAGCACCTATCTGGAGTCGTTCGTTTAGTATCCTCAAAAGAGACACGTGCCTGTCCGTCCCCTCTCACCCCGCGTGTGCAGGGTAGCGACCCCAAAGATGATGAGTAAAATCGGCGTGTGGCATTCCGTGGACCGTAGCAGAATGCTATCCTGATTGCGCTTCTCTTACTGCAGGTCGCAGTGCAGCACCCCCCCTCGGAGAGGGCACGATCTCTCTGGGGGCATACCACTTGCTTTCTGTGTGTGATAAGCCGATTTTTGAGTCGACTCAAAAATCGACTTATCACACGTACCACTTGCTTCCTCTCCCTCTCACCTGGCGTGTGCAGGGCAGCAACACCGAAGTCAATCAGCTTGATGCGCGTGTGGCATTCCTTGGACCGTAGCAGAATGTTCTCGGGCTTCACGTCGCGGTGCAGCACGCCTTTCCGCCCGCACTGCAGCAGCGCCTCCGCCAGGGAGCGGCACAGCAGGGCGGCATCCCTCTCGGGGAACTGTCCCCGCTGCTTGATGCGGTCGAATAGGTCTCCCCCCTCGCAGAGTTCCATGATCAGGTGGACGTACTGTTAGGGGGAGAGGGGAGGATGAACACTGGGCTATGAGGAGTTGAGAGGGGTGGAGTCCGCGGCACAGCAGGGCGGCGTCCCACTCGGGGAACTGACCGCGCTGCTTGATGCGGTCGAATAGGTCTCCCCCCTCACACAGTTCCATGATTAGGTGCACGTACTGTTGTAGGGAGGGAGGAGAGGCGGTGTGGGAGAGGGGGAGTGGGAACAAAGAGGTGTAGTGAGGGGTTGGAAGGGGTGCAATTGGTGGGCTGACCGTACCCGCCTCCGCCAGCCCGCGGCACAGCAGGGCGGCGTCCCTCTCAGGGAACTGGCCACGCTGCTTGATGCGGTCGAACAGGTCTCCCCCATCACATAAATCCATGATTAGGTGGACGTACTGTTATGGGGAGGGGTATGGGAGAAGGGGGAAGGGAAGGAGAGAAGAGGGTATGAAGGATTGAGAGGAAGGTCACTGTGCCACGTGACCTTTATGCTGCCACACCCTCGCATATGCCGCTCACCATCCGTCATGTGCATTATATTTGAGAATTCTAAAGAATAATCTACATCGCCAAGGACTTAGATACCCTCGCATATGCCGCTCAACATGCCCGTCATGTGCCACTGCCACGCACCTTGTCATCCTCAAAGGCGTCGTGCAGGTTGACGATGCACGGGTGGTGGCGCAGCAGGGGGCATTCTGTGTGCCATGCTCACATCAAAAGAGAGGCAATGCCATAAGTGCCACGCACCTTGTCGTCCTCAAAGGCATCATGCAGGTTGACGATGCATGGGTGGTCGCGCAGCAGCCCCAGAACACGCTGTGTCATGCTCACATGCTCCCATACTCTCCCATGCCAGCATGCCATACACCCACCTTGTCGTCCTCAAAGGCATCATGCAGGTTGACGATGCATGGGTGGTCGCGCAGCAGAGTGCTCTATGTGCTCCCATGCTCCCATGCTCTCACATGTGCTCCTCACCATGCCGATTTTTGAGGCGCCTCAAAAATCGTCACATGTGCTCCTCACCATGCCAACAATCCGCACCTTGTCATCCTCAAAAGCATCATGCAGGTTGATGATGCATGGATGATCGCGCAGCAGGCCCAGAATGATCACCTCTGTCCGCACGTCCTCCACATCCTCTTTGCACTGGCGAGGGTGGGAGAGGGGAAAGGGAAGAGAGAGAATTGGGAGTGGAAGGGGGATGGGGGGGCGTGTTGTGAGGTGTTGCATCGCAGCAGCCCCAGAATGATCACTTCTGTTCGCACGTCCTCCACATCCTCCTTGCACTGGTGCGTGCGAGAGTAGAAGAAACGGGAGGGGTGAGAAAGGGAGAGAAGAGGGACTTATGAATTTTCGAGCTTACAGAAACAAAGTGACAAACGCGGACCTCCGTGCGTGAGAACAAAAAACCTCCACGTCCTGCTTGCACTGGCTGGGGTGAGGGAGAAAAAGAAGGGAAGAGAATGGCCATGGGGAGGGGAGGCGGGCAAAGACAATGCATAGAAACAACCATCCACCAACTTTCTCTCCACCTCATCCTCCCCTTTCCTCACCTTCATGTGTTCCTTCTTGATTGTATTTATCGCCATTTTCACTCCTGTCACTCGGTGCCTTCAAAGCATGCCTGTGACTCTTTCCCTGCCCCACCTCCTACTGCCCCCTCCCCCTCCTCACCTTCATGTGTTCCTTATTTATCGTCTTTATCGCCATCTTCACTCCCGTCGCTCGGTGCGTGCACGGCACCCCCACAACTCTGCTACCTCAACTTCCCCACTCCATCCCCTTACCTCACGTGTTCCTTCCTTTCCTCATTCTCCCTCCTTTCCTCACCTTCATGTGTTCCTTCTTGATCGTCTTTATCGCCATCTTCACTCCCGTCGCTCGGTGCGTGCACGGCCGAATCACGCCGTACCGCCCGCTCCCGATCCGTGCGGCGCTCACGGAATAAAATCTCTTCACATTATCGTACGGCATGCGCAGAATAAAATCCCTGAAGCTCAGATTCCCCGAATCCACCTCCGCCGCCCCTGCTGTCGCCGCCCCACCCTGCCACCCACCCCCCCCGCCCTCTCTCCCCCCTACACCCTCCCCCCCTGCGCCCTCCCCCATCTCCCCTGTAAGTCCTCGGCTGATGTAGGTGCTTAGAGTCTTGAAGAACTGCTGTGAGTGGGCGTCTAGGGATGCGCACCGGTGGTGCACAGAAGGGGATGCAGGTGCAGGGGCAGGGGCAAGGGCAGGATGGCCAGGGGTAGGGGTAAAAGGACTACCACCACCAGCAGTAACAGCACCAGCAGCAGCAACAGCAGCAGTGGTCGAGGCGTGGTGAATGGCAGAGGGGAAGGCAGGTGAGGAGCCGGCAGCAAGAGCAGCAGAGTGGAGCGGGGAATGATGAGAAGCTTGCACTCCTGGAGGAACCATCTGCATGCCGCTGCCGCTGCCGCTGCCGCTGCCGCTGCCGCTGCCGCTGCTGCCGCCACTGCCGATGCTTCCGCTGGTGGTGATTTCCATACCTGCGCTCGCATATCGCCTGTGAACCCTCCCTCCTATGCCCCCCCCTCCTATGCCGCCGCCGCCTATGCTGCCGCCTACGCTGCAGTTGTCGCCACTGGTGGCGTTGGTGCTGCTGGTGCCGCCGCTGGTCCTGCTGCTGGTTGCTTGAATCGCACTCAACCTGCGCAGTAGTGCTTCCTTCAGCTGCTGCAAATCCACCTGCCCCGTCCCTCCCTGCTGCTGCCCCTGCTGCTGCGGTTGGTGATATCCCTGCTGCCCCTGCTGAAACTGCTGCCCCTGCTGCTGTGCTTGGTGATATCCCTGCTGCCCCTGCTGCTGGTGCTGCCGCTGCTGCTGCAGGTTCATCCTGTGCTGCTGCAGCTGCTGCTGCAGCCTCTGCAGCGCCTTGATCTGATCTTCATGCAGCCTCAACGCTCCTTGCTGCTGTGGGGGAGGTGCACTTGGGGGAGGTACACTTTGGCTCGTATCTAAAGGCGACGGCTGCTGCTGCTGCTGCTGCTGCTGCTGCTGCTGCTGCTGGCCCAACGAACCTTGTTGTGAGAAAGCAGAGTCCGAACCTCTTTCTGCAGAGTCCGATTTCCTCTTGAGCTGCTGCCCGTGCAGATTGAATGCAGCGGCAGGAGCAGCAGATGCGGCAGGAACAGTAGGAACGGCGGGAGCAGGATGAGCAGCAGGAGCAGGCGGAAGAGCAGGAGGGGGAAGAGCAGAAGGAGCAGGAGGAGCAAGAGGAGGAGCAGTAGAGTGAAGGGGAATGCACGGCTCGGCTGCAGCGGCACTGGCACTGACACACGCGACGGCAGGAGGAGCAGGAGGAGCAGGAATAGAGGAAGGAGGAAGAGGAGCGGCGGAAGCAGAAGGAGGAACGGAAGGAGGAGGAGTAAGAGGAAAAGGAGCAGGAGTAGGAAGAGCAGGAGGAGCAGGAGGGGGAAGGGCTGCATTTCCAATAACCACAGAATTCCCATTAACCGCTGCAACCCTTTCAGTCAAAGAAACAGAAATCCCAGTAGGGTCACTCGAAAATGGGGACCTCGGGGGCTTGGGAGACCTCGTCACCGGACTGAACTCCCCTGCACCGCACTCCAAACCTGCAGGAACACTCAGAGCCGTAGCAAACTGCCCGGGTGACCTGAAGGGGCTTCTAGGGGGGAGGTTGAGGTTGAGGGTTCCGCCGCAGCTGTTGCTGTGGCTTAGCCCGAGGCTGCTGCCGAAGCTGGTGCTGCTGTGGTGGTTGCTACCGAAGCTGCGGCTTCGGAGGGTGCGACGTGCGGTTACCGCGTTACCAGTGCTCTCACCACCAGCAGCACCGGCAGCAGCAGCAGCAGCAGCAGCAGCAGCACCAGTGGCGCCACCAACGGTGCTGCCGCTGCTGCTGCTGGTCCCGAGGCAGCTGGTCCCGATGCTGCCGCTGCTGCCGAACCTCCGGGCTGCGTCCGAACCAGAATGGTCGGACCGGTGGCGCCGATGCTGGCCCATAGGCCCGGCGCTGCCGGACGGGATACCGAGCCTCAGGTGCTGGTGCTGTGGGAGCTGCGGCCGCCGCCGGTGCTGCAGCAGCTGCTGCGGCTGCTGCTGCTGCTGGGGCAGGGACTGGGGTTGGTGTTGGGTTTGGGGAAGTTGTTGTGGCAGCTGAGGCTGGGGTTGGGACAGCGGGGGTTGCTGCTGGGTTTGGGAAACCTGCTGGGGAAGCTGGGGCCGTTGAGGTGCCTGTTGGGACGGATGTTGGAGCGGCTGCTTGGGTGGAATGGCTAGTTCTCCCCCTGCGCCCGCCCCTGCGCCTGCGCCTGCGCCTGCGCCTGCGCCTGCGCCTGCGCCTGCGCCTGCGCTCGCCCCTGCGCCTGCGACGAGCGACTCTCCCCCTTTCAAGCTGGAAGGTTCGTCCAACACTCCCTGCTCTGCGCGATAGCACGCGGAAGCTTCCTGGGCGGTCGAGGAATCTTCGCGCGGGCTGGCCGCCCAAGGAAGGGGGGGCGCGCGTATAGGGGAATGCGCGGGGGACATCCGCGGGGAGAGGGAGGGGGAGAGATGCGGGGATAGATGCGGGGAGAAGAGGGGAGAGGGGCAATCACCGCCGTCCGCGCCGAAAGGCGGCGTGCGCGGGGAGTGCATGAAAACAGGCGGCGGGTGAAAATCCACGCTCAGAGCGCGCCGATGCGGCGCGTCGTCTCCGTTACCAGCCGAAACGCCTGTAGCAACCCCCCTCCCTGCCCCGATACCGTAATAATAGCTTCCCGTACCGTTAATTATCCCCATAGGCGCGGTTTCGACTCCTCCGGGTTTCGTCCTAGGATGAGAAGCCATGGAGCCGTGTCGCTGGTGTCTTATAATCATTCTCTTTTTCCGGCTGTTGTTGCTTGTTGTTATAAAGCCGCCGCCGCCGCTGCAGCCGATTCCGCTTCCGCTGCCGCCGCCGCCGCCGCCGCCGCTGCCGTCGATTCCGTGCCCGGTGCTGTTGAACCGTCGGATTACCTCCCGTGCGACTGTGTCGCAGCTCTCGTTTCTGTCGCACTCGTCGTCGTCGTCGTCGTCCGAGTCGTATCTGGTCGCAGCCTCAGCACCGCGACGAAAGTCCCTCCCGCTATTATCACACGCGACGGCGGTCGCCAAATCACGCATCTCCTCATCCGCCCCGCCGACGCTGCCGTAACGGCTGCTGACATGGCGATCGAGGCTGCCGCAGCGGTTGCTGACGTGGCGATCGACGCTGCCGGACGGCGGGAGGCCGGCACGGCGAAATGACCCGGCGCGTTGCGAACCAAAGGAACCGCCGATACCGCCGCGGGAGATGGGGCCGCCGCCGGCAACGTCGTCTCGAATCGGCGGTTCGAAACGCGACGAAGGGACCGAGGCGTGGGAAGAAGGGGTGTCGGGGTAACTAGCAGGGTCGTACAGTCCGTAATCGCTAAAATCATCCGTCCAGGCTATACTGCCGCTCCTGCCGCTGAACGTGCTACTGCTGTGTCGGCTACTGACGGCGCTTCCCGCGCCGCTTCTAACGCCGCTTCGCCCGCCGCTCCTCCCGCTGCCGCCGGTACCGTCGCTGAGAGTGATGTCTTTGAAGCCGCTGGTAACCCGGTTACTCCAGTCGTCGCTGTCCATGCGAACAGGCAGTTTGGATGCTTCCCCCCACCCGCCTGTCTTCGTTGTAAGCTCATCCGTTTCCGACATTGCGCTTCTTTTCGTTTCTCACGGCGGTTCGCCTCTTCTTGCGAATCGGGTGAATTATTCTCGACAATGTCGACTCTCGAGGCGTAATGCACAATTCTGGCGAATTACCCTAACGAGGAGGACTATATCGAGGCAAAAGGGAGGCAGCCTTGCTGTCTACGCTGGAGACTCGTGAACAGCAAACTATCGTGCGAGTCGTAAGCAGGACCTCTCCTAGCGACCGCCAAGAACAAATGCGCGCTCTTCATACACCCTACCAACCAGGGCTACTACAATACGTGATTCGCTACAGCCCCAGACTCGAAATTCGTCGCGTCGCCAACCTAATATACTCAAGCCGTTGGCACGCGACTCTCGCCGGATTTAGAAAGCGGGTTTTCGCGGTCCACTGCCAAGGCTGGAGGGCAGAAGCGGCCACTCGCGTGCTGGAGGTGCTAGCGTGCGCGCGTGCTCGCTCGTAGCGGCCAACACGGCAGCGAGCAGTGCTAGGGGTAAGTATACCTAACGTATAGCATCCAAGGAATCTGACAGCGGCTTCGTAGTTGATTAAAAAAACCACCCGAGCACGGCAGTGTTAGGGGGAAGTATGCCTAACGCGTCGCTTGTTACGACTCTGGAAGCAGGAGGTAGTGAGTAATTAATTAAGTGATGCTCTAGGACCCAGACTTGAAAGGCTCGGTAATGCTGATGATGCTAATTGTAATAGTTGAAAAAGAGCTGAAGGGAGAAAGGAACGGTAGCGGTGCTCCAGGAATTACTTGTACGGTACTAGAAACCTCCCCTCCCTCGCCTTCCCCCTTGGAAAATAACGTGCCCCTGGAGACTAACGCGCACGCGTGACGGTCGTTGCTTGAAATTACACTCTTAGACGGCTGACGTCGAGTCACGCGGGCGTGCTAGGATTGGATGTGGGATTCGATAAGACGGGCTGGATAAGGAACAAGTCAGCGGTCTAGCGGATCTGCTACGAGTACTCGGTTCCCTGGTCTGCTCTGTTTCTCCCTCTCGCTCAGTGTCTTCGATTGGCCTCGCCCTTTCGGGCGTTGGTTGCCCATGGCGTTGGTTCACCCCTCAGCAGCAGTAAAGAAGCAGCATTCCGTTCCCTCTGTTCTGTTTGTCAGGTGAGCGACCTGCAGTGCGGTTACTAAACTGGGCCGGTGTTGCGGTAGGTTTGGATGGACTCTTTCTTTGGCCAGTGCGGCGAAACAAAAAGGTGGAAGAGTGCGGAAAGTAGTAACTCCGTTCGTTTGGACTTATCTGGACGAAACGAATTGAAACGAAATGGAACGAAACAAGGCGAAACGCGCTGCCGCAGCTCTTTGTCGTGTCGCACGATGATTGGCTGACGATGGGTGATGGCTCCAGGGGGCGTTTTTTTCTTCAGCAAGTTGCGCCGTCGTTGCCGAGCAATTGGGCTGGACTGATGAAGATTTGACCAATGAGAGCAGCCCGTTATGTCTCAAATGAGACGACACACTGTCCTCCACTGATTGTTTGACTGTGTTGGCTGGCTATGAAAACGGGATGTTTGGATTTCGACCAAACCTGCACAAGACAGACAGTTTTGCCGCTGCCGTCGAGGGCCAAAATTTGGAATCGCCGTTACGCACGCGCAACATCATTTTTCCAAAACCCTGAGGCTTGACGTTTTCCGTCCGTCCGTTTCGAATTCGAATCGAACATGGGTCTTGCTCGTTCCCGCCAATCACGACAGAAACAGTCGTCGTACGGTGACAAACTCAACAACATGGGACAACAGTGCAGTTGCGAAAGGTCCTCTCCTTTCAGCCACCCACGAATTCACAACAGTACCTTACGACGTGTAACAGCCTTCGCTAATGTTCCACCGTTCATCCAAACATTTCACGAAGTGTAATGTAGACCAATAATATTCTCCATAGTCAAGAGGTGGAAACAGCTGGATCTTATGAAAATAATGGAGATGTGAATGCACCAACACAATGGTTGAAACGTTAGAGATCAGAGCTGGAACAATTGTAGATCTTTGTATACGGTGACAATGGTTGAAAGAGAGTGACAATGTGAAGGTTATACGCCACTAGCAACAATCGATACACAAGCTAGCACATGCAGCACCACAAATGAACCTCCTACCGAAGCCTCACCTAATGATGCATTGTTTGGTAACATCACGCACAAATGGAAACCAAACAGCTCGAGCTAAACCCTACTACTACGGTAATAAAAGCATTTCGAAGCCCCTTTCACCACAACATTAAACTAACCCCACAGATTTTTCAAATGACACAAAACACACATGGGTCTTGCAATCATCTCCGAAGAGCCCTTCAAGAGAAAACCTCATAGAGAGGGCTTTGTATAACAGCTTCACGGGAGCAAGCTTTGTGAGAAAAGTCAGGGCACCTGAAACACTTCCAAGAGTAAAAGCTTTGTTTCACCAGGGTAGCACCGATAGCATGGGGTAGCATAGCATGGTTCCACCTTCGTTTCACATGGTAGCGTGGTTTCTCCATCGCTTCACGTCACTCACTACCTTCACTAGCATGCCTCATAGAATAGCACTTGAGGTTGCAAGCGGCCGCGAGTGCATGAGCTGACCACGTCTGCCCACCCACCAACCACCTGTAGGGCGGTCGCACAACAGACAAGAGAACAGTTTTGAGAACTCTTAGATGCAGATCCAACATCTCACTCCACCTCACCTCAATCTACCCCATCTCACTCCACCTCATCTCTCTCCACATCGTCTCACCCCACCTCATCTCACTCCACCTAATCTCACTCCACCTCATCTCCCTCCGCCTCATCTCTTTCCACCTCATCATCTCCTCCACAGTCCACCTCATCTCACCTCATCCCCCTCCACCGCATCTCACCTTGACAGTGGTGTCGTCGAACATGACCCACTTGCCCAGCAGTCAGAGCACACAATCCCCTCAAACCAGAACTCCACCTCCCTCCACCCCCTTCCACCGCATCTCACCTTGACGGTGGTGTCGTCGAACATGACCCACTTGCCCAGGTCGGCATGGAAGGAGGCACTGACTGACAGTATACCATGACTCAGGCCCTCATACCCCATCGTCACCTCCCTCCACCCCCTTCCACCGCATCTCACCTTGACGGTGGTGTCGTCAAACATGACCCACTTGCCCAGGTCTGCATGGAAGGAGAAGCAGTGGTAGTGCCGCCCATAGTAGCACACCACACGCACCACGCGCACCCTCTGCGGGCCCGGCAGGGCTCAGCGCACGCAAGCACCTCAGCTCAACCGAAACATCCATGACATTATCACCGCACTCCGCCTCTCTCCACCTCCCTCCACCTCTTTCCACTGCTCTCCACATCACCTCCCTATACTCTCACCTTGACGGTGGTGTCGTCGAACATGACCCACTTGCCCAGGTCCGCATGGAAGGAGAAGCAGTGGTAGTGCCGCCCATAGTAGCACACCACACACACCACCCGCACCCTCTGTGGGCCTGGCAGGCCCCGATACACCACTCCCACATCCATCTGCACGTCTAGTGCTCCCAGTGTCAGGCCGATATCCTCTGCCTCCTCCCTGTCGCTCTGCCAACCCAAAACTGCGAACGTGGCAACACACAGAAGGGGGAAGAAGGGAAGGAATGGAGTGAGGGTAGCACACCACACACACCACACACACCACGCGCACCCTCGGTGGGCCCGGCAGGCCTCGATACACCACTCCCACGTCCATCTGCACGTCCAGTGCTCCTAAAGTCAGGCCTATGTCCTCGGCTTCCTCCCTGTCGCTCTGCCATCCCAAGACTGTGGAAAAAGGAACAGCGGAAAAAAGGAAGATTAAAAAACAAGGGAGTCAAGACAGGGCCACCATACACCACTCCCACGTCCATCTGCACGTCTAGTGCTGCCAGCGTGAAGCCGATATCTTCCGCCTCCTCCCTGTCGCTCTGCCACCCTAAAACTGAGCACACACAACGGGTGTTGGGAAAGGGGAAGGTGGGGAAGGAAATGAGTGAAGGAAGCACACCACACACACCACGCGCGCGCACCCTCTGCGGCCCCGGCAGGCCTCGGTACACCACTCCCACGTCCATTTGCACGTCCAGTGCTGCTAGAGTGAGACCTATGTCCTCTGCCTCCTCCCGTCACTCTGCCACCCCAGGACTGAGGCAGGGCAAACAGCGGGTATTGGAGAGCGGAAAGAGAGAGGAAAGGGAGTCAGGTCAGGCATCGATACACCACTCCCACGTCCATCTGCACGTCCAGTGCTGCTAGCGTTAAGCCGATATCTTCAGCCTCCTCCCTGTCGCTCTGCCACCCTAGGACTGAAAGATGGATAGGAGAGGAGCAGAAAACAGCGGGAATTGGAATTGGGGAAAGAGACAAGGAAGGGAGTCAGTTCAACCCTCGGTACACCACTCCCACATCCATCTGCACATCTAGCGCTCCCAGTGTGCGGCCTATGTCCTCTGCCTCCTCCCTGTCGCTCTGCCACCCCAGAACTGCAAGTAAGGCAACACACAACAGGTGTTGAAAAGGGTAAGAAGTCAGGGAAGAAAGTCAAGACGAGTTTTGAGGCGCCTGAAAATTAGATGCATAGCCACCCAACCTCCCCTGCACATTCCTCCTTCCACCACCACCCAACCTCCCCTGCACATTCCTCCTTCCACCACCACCCAACCTCCCCTGCACATTCCTCCTTCCACCACCACCCAACCTCCCCTGCACATTCCTCCTTCCACCACCACCCAACCTCCCCTGCACATTCCTCCTTCCACCACCACCCAACCTCCCCTGCACATTCCTCCTTCCACCACCACCCAACCTCCCCTGCACGTTTCCTCTCCTCCTTCCATATGGCCAAATGCGTACCAGTGGTGAAGATGGGTGGAGCGCGGCGCAGAACGTGTTGAATGGCGTTGTGGTGCCCACATCCCCCCACCTCCAAGTCGCATGGCAGCAGGTGGTGCTGCTCCATGCCCGCTAATAGCTCGTCCATACGGCAGGTCGGATTTCCCAGCTGTTGGGAGGGGTTCAGGGGGGTGACGGAGGGATTGAATGGTGTGCGGAGGAGTTGAGAGCCGTAGAGGACGAGGAGTTGCAGCACCCCCCCACGTCCACATCGCATGGCAGCAGGTGGTGCTGCTCCATGCCCGCTAATAGCTCGTCCATTCGACAATTAGGGTTGCCCAGCTGTGGGAAGCGGTTAGGAGGGGTTGAGAGGGGTGAGGGAGGAGGTCAGTGCGGTGACAAGGTGACATAGGGACAGTAAATGGTGCTGCTCCATGCCCGCTAATAGCTCGTCCATGCGTCAATTCGGATTGCCCAGCTGTAAGAAAGAGTTGGGAGGGGTTGAAAGCGGTGAGGGAGGTCAGTGCGGTGACAAGGGGACAATAGGTGGTGCTGCACCATGCCTGCTAATAGCTCGTCCATGCGGCATGTGGGGTTGCCCAGCTGTGGGAAGGAGTCACACCTATTTGCCCACGCACACACGCCTGGAGATCCTTGGAGATCCTGAGCGCAGTGGCATTGGCGTGGTGGAAAAAAGAGGAGTAGCGCATCTGGCGCGACTGCAGGCCCAACAGCAGTCAACAGGCCCAACAGCAGTCAACAGGCCCAACAGCAGTCAACAGGCCCAACAGCAGTCAACAGGCCCAACAGCAGTCAACAGGCCCAACAGCAGTCAACAGGCCCAACAGCAGTCAACAGGCCCAACAGCAGTCAACAGGCCCAACAGCAGTCAACAGACCCAACAGCAGTCAACAGCCCCAACAGCAGTCAACAGCCCCAACAGCAGTCAACAGGCCCAACAGCAGTCAACAGCCCCAACAGCAGTCAACAGCCCCAACAGCAGTCAACAGGCCCAACAGCAGTCAACAGCCCCAACAGTTACACTCCCTTACGAACCCACACACTCACCTTTGACAATCTCAGAGCAGTGGCATTGGCATGATGAAAGAAAGAAGAGTAGCGCATCTGGCGGGATTGCAGGCCGCATTTAGAGCACCGCATCATCTCTGTCACGTCCAGCCCAAACAGCCCGTGCGCTATGCACGCTGCTGCTGCCGCCTCTGCTGCCGCTGCTGCTGCTGCTGCTGCACTACACACGTCCAGCCCAAACAGCCCAAACAGACCCAAACAGACCCAATCAGACCCAGGGTTTTGGGTTTAGGGTTTGAAGCACACAGACACTCACCTTTGACAGCCTGAGAGCGGTGGCATTGGCATGATGAAAGAAAGAAGAGTAGCGCATCTGGCGGGATTGCAGGCCGCGTTTAGAGCACCGCATCATCTCTGTCACGTCCAGCCCAAACAGCCCGTGCGCTATGCACGCTGCTGCTGCCGCCTCTGCTGCCGCTGCTGCTGCTGCTGCTGCACTACACACGTCCAGCCCAAACAGCCCAAACAGACCCAAACAGACCCAGGGTTTTGGGTTTAGGGTTTGAAGCACACAGACACTCACCTTTGACAGCCTGAGAGCGGTGGCATTGGCATGATGAAAGAAAGAAGAGTAGCGCATCTGGCGGGATTGCAGGCCGCATTTAGAGCACCGCATCATCTCTGTCACGTCCAGCCCAAACAGCCCGTGCGCTATGCACGCCGCTGCTGCTGCCTCCCCTGCCGCCTCTGCTGCCGCTGCTGCTGCTGCAGCACCCACACCACCCGCACCTGCTTCCCCTCCTGCTCCTCCTGCTCCTCCTGCTCCTCCTGCTCCTACTCCTGTTGCTACACTGTCCCCTATTCTACTTACTGATCCTAACCCCCCACCGGATTTTCTAACATTCGCAGCCGCAGCAGCTGCAGAAGCTGCAGCGGTGTTGACCCCGCCTTTCCCTCTGGCAACCACTGCACCATAGGAGAGCGGAGAAGCAGACACAGCAGCCCCACTCCCCGAGGCTGTTCCCGAGCCTGCTGCCGAGCCTACATCGTGTCTCTGCCCAGGAGCTGTGGTCTGGTTCGGCACAGACCCAACACCCAGAGCTGAGCTGTCTGCCGAAGCTGCGAGGTAGGCTCGGTCCCAAGCTGATGTTGAGACCGGGCAGTCCCAGCTTCCTGCTGGCTTCTGATTGGCTGCATTGCTGCCCGAATCAATGAAAGAATGATCTGCCGAAAAGTTGACAGCTGTTGATTTGACACTGGAAGCTCCTTCTGATCCCGAACCAGGTTCGGAGGCAGGCTCGGTGAAGGCTCGGTGGAGGCAGTCAAAGATGACTAGGAGAACCTCTGAAGCATCGTTCATCTGAGACTGGAGGAGGGAACAGGCGGGGAAAAGGGGCAGCAAGAAAAGAAAAGAGAAGAAGTGCACAGGAACAGGCGTTACTTAGAAAAGCCGAGTGAAAAAGCATGGCACGAAGTGACTCGTTTAACCCTTGAGCATAACTTCTGAAGATACCTGTTGGAAGAACTCTGAATCGGCAAACATGGCACTAAGTGCCACTCTTAGGGCCGTCGGCGCCACTACAGTCCGAACAGAGGGGCCCGCCCCTCCCCCTGCTGCTGGCGCCGCTGCCACCACTGCCACCCCTGCTGCCGCTGCCACTGCCGCCGCTCCTGCTGCTGCTGCTGCTGCTGCTGCAGATGAAGCGGGTTCTGCAGGCATAACCCCGTCTGCCTCTGCCTCTGTTACACTACTAGCAGCTGTGCTGGTAACCGCACTGGTGGCAGTGCTAGTGTGTGCACTCCTGGCCCCACCACGCTCGCCACGCTCAGCCAGAGCAGTTGCGTAACTACTGTGTGCGGGGGGCTGTGCCTGTGGCTGTGGCTGTGGCTGTGTTGGGGGTTGTGGCTGTCCCTGTGGTTGTGGATTGATCTGCTGCGTCCCACTGCTGCTGCTATGAGCCTGCTGTGACGCCCCCCAGGTATTGCTCTGCTGTGTCCTTTTGCTCCTTTTGTTCGCTGAAGCACTCTCAGCGTCAGATAACGAATCGCCTTCTTGAGGGGTTGATAGCGCTGCAGTGCTGCCGCTGCTCAGAACAGGGAAGTCAGAGGTGCTGAGAGGAGGGAAAGCGGCAGCGTCGGCAGAAGAAACAGTAGAGCCAGCAGTTTGGGAAACTGCCTCCCTGGATCCTACTGCTGCTCCTGCTGCTGCTGCTGCTGGGGAAGATTTCCAAGCAGGCCGCAACGAGACAGGAGCAGCTGCAGCAGCTGCAGCACCGGCGGCAGAAGGAGCAGCAGATGGTGCAGCAACGGAGGCGGCAAAGGGAACAATAGCAGTAGCAATAGAGACCGACGAGTTGGTGGGGGTGGTGGCGGCAGTGACAACAGTCGGGCTGGCTGTGATGGCGGCGGTGCTGGTGGTGGTGAGAGCAAGGAAGATGTCTCTTAAAGCACAGACCACACAGGGGTCGCCTTGATGTGTGTGCTGCTGACAGGATGGGTGCAGCAGCCTCTCCCTGAACCTACGCAAGTGCCAGAGGGACTGAGGGGGTTCAGAACCAGAGGTGGAGAAGAGACGGGGAGAAACAGAGGGGGAGAAAGGGGTGCTTATTAGAAGGGTTGTCAGTGGCGGTGGCAGTGCTGGTGGTGGTGAGAGCAAGGAAGATGTCTCTTAAAGCACAGACCACACAGGGGTCGCCCTGGTGGGTGTGCTGCTGGCAGGACGGGTGCAGCAGCCTCTCCCTGAACCTACGCAAGTGCCAGAGGGACTGGGGGGTTTGGGATTCAGGGGCGGAAAGGAAAATGGGGAACAGAGAAAAAGAATGGGATTAATCAGAAGGGTTGGCAGTGGTGGTGCTGGTGCTGCTGCTGCTGCTGGTGCTGGTGGTGGTGAGAGCAAGGAAGATGTCTCTGAGAGCACAGACCACACAGGGATCGCCTTGATGGGCGTGCTGCTGGCAGGACGGGTGCAGCAAACGCTCCCGGAACCTACGCAAGTGCCAAAGGGACTGGGAAGCATGCGGAAAAAGGGAAACAAAGGGTTTTGATGGTGCCGGCGTTGCTGCTGGTGCTGGTGGAGTTGAAAGGAAGGAGGATATCCAGATGATACGAGTGGATTTTTGAGACATCTCAAATGAAAAAATGTTCGAATTTGGGAAGTCACAAGCACTCATACAAACAGCAGTCACCCCTCCCGCAAGCAACAGATCAGTCCCTCCTCACCTGAATGATGACATTGAGGAAGCAGTTATACTCCCCAATCTCATTCCTCAGCCCCACCAACCCCTCCTCCCCTCCCGCTCCACTCCACACCATTTCCACCGCTCCTCCCCCTCCGGCCCCCCTCACATCGACCTCCATTCCCCCCTCCCCTCCCCCTCCCTCTCTCGACTCCCCACTCTCCTCTCGCAGCGTCAGCGCCACGCTGGCATCCCAGTCTGCTGACGTGGCAGGCGCTGTTGCCAGGCTGTCGGAGCTTCTCTCTGAGCTGGCGGGGTTTAGGGCAGCTTCTGATTGGTGCTTGGGGGTTTGCCGGGCGGCAGAGTGGTAGTAGTGGGAGTGAGATGAACGTTCCAGATCCTCTGTTGGGGGCAGTGAGGGAGGAACGAGGGGTGAGGGGAAAACGAGGGGCGCGGAAAAACAGGTGGAGCAGGGGACAAAAAACTCAGGTAAAAACTCAGGCGTTTTCAATGGAGCCACCAGAGGCAGGACTAGACGCTACACTCACCTATGCTCCGCTGCACCCATCTGTGCCCTTCTGCACCCATACATGCCCTACTGCACCCATACTTGCCCTTCTGCACCCACCTATACTCTGCTGCATGGCTCGTTGAAGGTCCGCTTGAAACTGCTCATCCTCCTCGTTATCCACAGCAGCACTCCTCCCTTCAACCTCCATTCCTCCCGTTCCCTCCTCCCCTCCCTCCTCCCCTCCCTCCTCTCCTCCCACCACTCCTCCCTCCTCTTCTCCCTCTCTTCTCCCCTCCATTTCTTCCCCCATCAACCCGTCACTCCCTTCTACCTGTTCCATCACTCCCTCCTCCTCCCACTCCTCCTCCCCCGCCCCTCCTGCTGACACACCTTCATGTATGTTCTGAGAATTTTCATAATACCCCACTGCACCCCCTGCTGCTCCACCTCCTCCTAATGCCCCTCCTGCTGCTCCCCCTCCTCCTGCTGCCCCTCCTGCTGCTCCCCCTCCTGTCACACCGCCTGCTGAACTTCCTACCGCCCCTCCGGCCCCTCCTCTCCCCTCCGCCTCCCTCCCCACCACTGCCATTCCACGCGAGTCCAACGCCCTCTCCGCCCACCCACCCATTCCAACCTGCTGCCCACCCATCCCACCCTGCAGAACCGCACTGGTTTGCTGCGCCGCCTCTGCTCCATCCTGCTGCTGCCCCTGCTGCACTCGACCATCTCCCCTTGCTACACCACCATTTCCTGCCATCGACTGATGCGTGTTCTGAACCGTTCCTGCTGGTTGAGGTGCCGCTGTGGGTTGGGGCGTTTCTAGTTGAGTGCTGGGAGCTGCATGCGGGTGGAAAGCGGTCACGGTCGCATGCACGCCTTGAGCATGGGCCATTTGCATTTGTACCCCGTGCGGCTGCTGGGCCATTTGCGATTGTACCCCGTGAGACTGGGCCATTTGCAATTGTACCCCGTGCGGCGGCTGGGCCATTTGCAAATGCACCCCATGCGGTTGGGCCGGAAGGGATTGCATGGGATGACCCGGCTGCTGCATTCCGTGACCCTGCGCCTGCAACCCCGGCTGCTGCTGCTGCTGCTGGTGGGTGTGATATCCCACAGCAAGCCCTGGAGACCCGGCAACAGGAGCATGCAGGGGCGGCGAGGGAGCGAGTGGGTATGAGTGGCCAGATGGGATAGCATGCGGGTGGGGTGGGGTGGCAAACGGATGGGGATGGGACGAGTAAGGGTGAGAGGGCGGGGGCGTGGGGTTCGGAGGTGGGGACGGGCCGTGGTGTAAGGAATGGGTCGGATGGGACAGGTGGGAGGGGTGGGCATGGTGCATGGTTGTCTGTGCTTGCGCTTGTGCTTGTTGCTGCGCCTGCCCCTGCTGCCCCTGCCCCTGCCCCTGCCCCTGTGCCTGTTCCTGCACCTGCACCTGTCCCTGTGCCTGCCCCTGTCCCTGTGCCTGCCCCTGTCCCTGTGGTGGTGGCGACAGTGGGCGGATGTGTGGCGAGGGGAGGGGGCGGAGGAAGGGCGAGGGGTACATGAGAGTGCCACCAGGCACAAAGGGAGCAGCGTGAGAAGACAGCTTGCTTGGCGACGCAAACGCTCCTGAATGCCCTGTCTGCTGCTGCTGCCCCGCCTGCTGCTGCTGCTGCTGTGCTGTGCCAGTCCCTCCCACCCCTCCTTGCCCTGCCTGCCCTACTTGCCCTCTTTCCGCTCTTTCTCCTCCTTGCCCCGCCACTGCTGCGCCTGCCTGCCTGCCCAACGCACCCAGCCCACCAGCAGGAGCAGTGCCAGCAGGGTACGCCATGAGCACAGCCGGATCCCCCCCCACCCCCGCCGCCGCCGCTGCTGCACGTTCCATCTGCCCTGCTGCTGCGCCTGCTGTTGATGCTACTGCCCCTGCAACTGGTGCTCCTTGGAAGGGGGGATGTAAGCCTGGGGGTGCATAGAGAGGGGTTGCATGGGGAAGCTGAGCGTGGGAAGGAGTAGCACCGTCGCCAGCACCACCAGTGGCAGCAGCAGCAGCACCGGCACCTCCCTGCGCCCCCATATACCCAACTGGCACTGGAACCAGGCTCGCCAAACCAGCAGGCCCGGCGACCGAAGCTCCTGCCGAGCCTGGGCCGGCCGGAGCAACGAGAGGAGGCATGGGGGCGGGCGGGAAGGGGGCAGCGCCCATAGGGGTACCCATGTGTGCGGCCATGTGCATGGGCATGGGGACAGGAACAGGCATGGCGTATGGCATGTGCACTGGCACTAGAGGCACCGCCCCTAGAGGCACTAGCGCCCCATATGCATCCCCTGCTGCCCCAACAATCCCACCGGCAGCACCGGCAGTACCAGTTCCCGCACTCCCCCCACCCACGCTACTTGTTTTGCCAATGCCCGGTGCAGCACCGCTGAGACCCGCCTGTGGTGCTGCTGGTCCGTGCTGCAGCTTACCAGCGGTGCCAGCTGCAGCAGCACTGGGAGTTGCAGCAGCAGTGGCAGTCGCTGCAGCAGCGGCAGTGCCAGCTACAGCAGCAGCAGTGGAAGCAGAATCGGAGAGGGAGGAGGAAAGAGTGGGGGTGATGGAGGGAGGTGAGAGGGAGGCGGGAGGGAGGCCGGAAATAGCACCTGCCTTGCCTCCAGCGGTAGCAGCATTGGTGAAAGATCCAAAGGTGATGCCAGACAAACCAATGAGCCTGCCCCCACTGCTGCTGCCGCTGCTACTCTTGCTCATGCTGCTCTTGCTACTGCTGCCACCCCTGTCACCGCTAGTGCTAGTGCCGGCACTCTCAAGCCCGGGTTTGTGGGGTGCTGAAACGGGCACAGGGACGGCAACATTGCACTGCCCCTGCTGCCCCTGCTGCTGGAGTGGCTGCCTGCTACCTTCAACCTGAGATTGCAAGGAATTACCCTCTTTCTCTTCCTGCCGCTGCGCCTGTCCCTGTGCCTGCGCCTGTCCCTGTGCCTGCGCCTGCCCCTGCGCCTGTCCCTGCCCCTGCCGCTGCGCCTGGGCCTGCGCATGCTGTTGCGATGCCCCCAGAGGCGCATACTCTTTCACCTGCCGCATCTGCACCTGCTGCTGTGTCTGCTGCTGTGTCTGCTGCTGTGTCTGTTGCTGCTGTTGCTGCTGCAGCTGCTTCTGCTGGTGCTGGTGCTGCCGTTGCTGCTGCTGCTGTTGCTGTTGCTGCTGTTGCTGCTGCTGCTGCTGCTGCTGCTGTTGTTGCTGTTGCTGTTGCTGCTGCTGCAGCTGTCGCCTTCTCTCTCTAGCAGCAGACCTCGGACCTACAGCAACCTCAACATCCACCTCCTCAACCCTCTCTCCTCCTCCCATACCTCCTCCCATACCTCCTCCCATACCTCCACCCATGCCTCCTCCCATCCCTCCACCACCCATACCTCCTCCCATACCTGCCCCCATACCTGTTCCCATACCTCCATGCTGCCTCGGCCAAGCCCCAGCCCGACCCTGTCTCTCCTCCCCCTGTGAACCATCACCCCAGCCCCCTGCGTACCCCTTCCCGCCCCACCCATTAAACCCCGGAGCGTGAACCACCCCCTGAGGGGCAATTACCCCTTGATGGGGAGGGGGAGTTACCCCTTGAAAAGGCATTACCCTCTGGGGCGGAATCAGCCCTTGGGGGGGAATTACCCCTTGGTGAGCATGCCTGGAAGCTAATTCCTCCTGAGAACCAGGCAGGGGCGCGGCAGGGAGAGCAGAGCTGGGAAAGCCAGGCAGATTGCCGTGAGCAGGGGCAGACGGCCTGGCATTTGTGCTCAAGGATCCAACACTTGCGTTGACGGAATTAGGGTTTACGGAATTAGGGTTTACGGAATTAGGGTTTACAGGCCCACTACTTCTAACTACGTCTGGTGCTGCCAGCAATCCATCCTGTACCCCCCGCGTTCCCCCCACACCAGCTCCTCCCACACCAACCACACCCACACCAACTGTCGCTGCTACTCCCACCACCCCAGCAGCAGTAGCCACGGTGGTTGCAGGTACTAAGGGCAGGAGTGGTGGCAACTGGGACGGGTGCTGCGGCTGCTGCTGCGGCTGTTGTTGCACTTGTCCCTGTGACTGCTGCTGCTCTTGCTGCGGCACCTGTTGATGCTGCTGCTGCTGCTGCTGCTGTCCCTGCTGCTGCTGCTGCTGCTGCTGCTGCAACTGCCCCTGTGATTGCTGTTGCTGCTGCTGTGTCTGCTGCGTCTGTCCCTGGATGCCCGTGCCTGTGCCTGTGCCCATGCCTGAGCCAGTGCCCGTGCCTGTGCCCATGCCTGTGCCAGTGCCCGTGCCTGTGCCCATGCCTGTGCCAGTGCCCGTGCCTGTGCCATTGCTCGTGCCTGCGCCCATGCCTGCGCCTAAGCTCGTGCCTGTACCCAGTGCAGCACCACCTGGCGCATCTCCAGCTTCAGCTGGCCCTGTGTTTCTCCCTGAACCCTCTCCTGATTGAAAACGTGCGCCTACCTGTGAACCAACCCCTGCCTGCAAACCACTTCCTGCCTGTAAGCCCCCTTCCATCTGCCCCCCCATTCCGCCTGCCCTGCCCTTGCCACCCCTCTTCCGCCTTGACCTGTTCTTGCCACCACCTAACCCCCCTCCCTCGCCAGACCCACTAGCACTCCCTCCATCAGACCCAGCACCACCACTGCCCGCAGCAGCACCTGAGATCGCACCTGGAACTTCACCTGAAGCAGCTCTCTGCGCTAGAGGCGTTCCCAGCAGCCCAGCATTCGCAGGCGGTGCAGCAGCAGCAGCACCCTGAGCTTGACTCTGCCCTGCCCTGAACCTCTGCAGGTCGCCTTGCTGATTCACCGCTTTCTGCTGTTGCTGCTGCTGCTGCTGCTGCTGCAGGGACGGAAGCACAGCAGCGTCTCTGTCTCTCCCCCGACCCTTGTGCCCCAGACGTTGGCTCGAACTCGCTATGGTGCGCACTATGCCACCTGACCGATCACCTGAGACCAGCCCAGACGCTGGAATGCCGTTTGCCAGTGCTCCTGCCTCCCCTGCTTGGCCCACAACCCCCACCCCCACCTGCTGCTGCTGCTGCGGCTGCTGCTGCTGTTGTTGTTGCTGCCGCCCATGCTGCTTCCCCCCCTGCTCCTGCTGCCCTCCCTGCTGGCCCCCCTGCTTCCGCTTCTGCTTCTGGGTTACCTCACCTGATTCTCCTCCTACCCTCACACCACCAGCTTCCTTCAGCCACCCACCACTCTCCACACTCCCATTCCCCATGCTCACACCTCCTGACGCCTCCCTCCCACCCCGCCCCCCACCCAGCCCCTTAGCCCGCACTCCAGTCTGACCCACACCCACCGCACCCCACCCTTCTTCATCCCTCCCGTCAGCATCTCTTGGCCTCGTACCACTGCTACCAGCCGAACCCACTCCTGCAGAAGAAGAAGAAGAGTCGACTGAAGAACCGGCAACTCGAGTCGCTTCCTGCTGTAACTGCTGGGTCTGCAGAGGCCATTGGTTCGGCTGGGATTCATGGCTGTGAGACAGCTGCTGAGACCGATGAGACGCACCTGCTGGTGCATGTGTGCTTGCATCTGCATGTGTGTGTGCATGGGTACGTGAATGCGTATCTGAAGGTATGTTTGTAAGTGTATGTGCATCCGCCCCCGAACCCCAGTCCGATTCTCCCCATCCTGTCGGCCCTGGCACCCCTGCACCAGCAGCAGCAGCACCTGCAACACCACCCCCAACACCAACCGCAACACTAGCCCCAGCAGTGGCAGCAGTAGCAGAAGCAGCAGACCCTTGCGCCCCCAGTCCCACAGCCGTCTCTTGCAAAACCTCAAACCCTGAACCTCCATTAGCCCTCTCCCAGCTCGACCCCTCACAACTCCCGTCCTCCCACTCCCCTTGCCTCCCTCTCACCATCCCCCCTTCCACCTCCCCCATCCGTACCCTCACCTCTTGCACCCCAGCACTCCCACCACTCCCATCCCCCCTTGACTTAGCCTCACCACCACCACCCATCAGCCTGAGCCGTTCCAATTCAGCCATTCTCTGCCGTTTCGCCGCCTCCTCTGCTTGTCTCTGGAGGGACAACGCCCATTCTAGTTTCCTCTCCTCATCCTCCATCTCCTGCTGCTGCCTCAGAATCTCCTGCTGCTCCCTTCGCCTCTGAGCCTCCTCCTCCCTCTCTGCCGCACTCTGTGGCACCCTCTCCCGTCCCCTCTCCTTCTCTCTCTCTCGCACCCTCTCCCTCTCTCTCTTCTCCCTCTTCTCCCTCTCTCCTCGTTCTCCGTCTCTTTCTCCCCCTGCCTGCCTCAAATGCTTCTCCGTTCTTCCTTCTCTTCCCCCCTCCCCTTCCTCCTCACCCTCATTCCCTCCCTCAATGTCCTTATCCCCCAGCAGACTACTGCCCCCTGCCTCTCTTCCTTCACCCTCCCCTCCTCCCTCTGCTCCTGCCACCCTACTAGTACTCTCTCCCCCTCCTCCTCCCCCACCTCCTCCTGCTCCTCCCCCCGCCCCCCCTCCCCCGCCACCACCCTTCCCACTCTTAGCACGCTCCCTGCCCTTCTTCTTTTCCCTGTTTTTTTCTACCTGCCCCTGCTTGTCCAGCTCAGCAAGGAACGCCTCTTGGGCAGCGTCGGAACGTTTCTGCGCGTCCTGCTCTGCTGCTTGCTCCAGGCGGTTCTGAGGATAAGGACGATTTACCAAGAAGAAAAACGTAAAAGAGTGCAAGTAGTCGGCACATCAAATCGAAGCACACACACGCAAGAATCAACTTTCCTGCCTGATTGCAATTTTGACAATGGGAGCATTAGCAGCGCCCTCGAGACACATTGGCAGCAAAAAAGAGGAATTGATGAAGCTGGAAAAAGCACCTGAATGAGGAGACTTGACGCAGCCACTGGGAGTAACACTCACCAGGCTGCACCACTCGCAAGACCAGGCAACACCATATATTCCCCATCTGCAGGAAGGTCTTGACGATGGGCAGCATGGCGGCGCGGTAGTCAAACACAGACGCCTAGTGGAGCTCGTTAGGGCTTGGCATTGAGCATGCCTGCCTGCCGTGTCTACTGGGAGAAGCACTCACCAGCAGCACCACACAGCACACCTGACAGCACCATGTATACCTTGCAACAATACCCCACCTGCAGGAAGGTCTTGACGATGGGCAGCATGGCAGCGCGGTAACAGACGCCTGTTGGAGCTCGTTTGGACACCGCATTGAGCATGCCTGCCGTCTGTACTGGGAGAAGCACTCACCAGCACCACACACCATACCTGACAGCACCATGTATACCTCGCAACAATACCCCACCTGCAGGAAGGTCTTGACGATGGGCAGCATGGCGGCGCGGTAGTCAAACACAGACGCCTGGTGGAGCTTGGCGTTGGCCTTCTGCACCGCCTCCAGATGGCACAGGATCCTCTCCTCCGCTTGCTCCTTCTGCTCGAGACAACGGTGTGGGAAGGGGTGGAATGGCGTGGAAAGGGGTGTGGCTTGGCGTTGGCCTTCTGCACCTCTCCCCTTAAGCCCCACCTCTCCCCTTAAACACCCACCTCCGCCAGAATGCTGCTACTGTGGCTCAAATCGCGGAGTCCATGCACACATTCAAAACAGTAGATCTCCATCAGTCCATTTCCCCCCCAACCCCGTTTCAAACGAAATAGCTAGACCCCACCTCCGCCAGGATGCTGCTCCTGTGGCTCCGAATCGCGCCCTCCATGCGCAGGTCCACAAAAACAGACCTCCATCTGTCCATTTCCCCCCCTCCAACCCCATTCCAAACCTAATAGCTAAACCCCACCTCCGCCAGAATGCTGCTCCTGTGGCTCCGAATCGCGCCATCCATGCGCAGGTCCAGCTGGGCGGCAAACTCTCCCCTTCTCTGCCACAATGCCCCTAGCCCCACTCCCCCTAAACCCCACCCACCTCTGCCAGAATGCTGCTCCTGTGAGCCCGAATCGCGCCCTCCATGCGCAGGTCCAGCTGGGCGGCAAACTCTCACCTTCTCTGCCACAATGCCCCTAGCCCCACTCCCCCTAAACCCCTCCCACCTCTGCCAGAATGCTGTTCCTGTGAGCCCGGATCGCGCCCTCCATGCGCAGGTCCAGCTGGGCGGCAAACTCTCCCCTTCTCTGCCACAATGCCCCTAGCCCCACTCCCCCTAAACCCCACCCACCTCTGCCAGAATTCTGCTCCTGTGAGCCCGAATCGCGCCCTCCATGCGCAGGTCCAGCTGGGAGGCAAACTGCCCTCCCCTCTGCCACAATGCCCCTAGCCCCACTCCCCCTATACCCAACGCCCCTAGCCCCACTCCCCCTAAACCCCACCCACCTCGGCCAGAATGCTGCTCCTGTGGCTCCGGATCGCGCCCTCCATGCGCAGGTCCAGCTGGGAGGCAAACTCTGGCCCGCGCCAGCTGTCGTGCTCGTCCTCATCCGAGTCAGTGCCGCCCAGATGGGAGGGCGCCAGGGAGAGCAGATCGCCACACTGCATGCGAGGCTGCAGGGGGGAGCGGAAGAATGATGGGGGGGTTAGTGGGGTCCAGCTGGGCGGCAAACTCAGGCCCGCGCCAGCTGTCGTGCTCGTCCTCATCTGAATCAGTGCCGCCCAGATGGGAGGGCGTGAGGGAGAGCAGGTCGCCACACTGCATGCGAGGCTGCGAGAGGTGTGCGGGGGGGGGAGCGGGGGGTCTGTGAAATGAGGGGGGACAGGAGGAGGGAAGTAACAGGGTGTGCTGCCCAGATGGGAGGGCGTGAGGGAGAGCAGGTCGCCACACGGCATGCGAGGCTGGGAGAGGTGTGCGGGGGGGGGGAGAGCAAGGGGAGAGGCAAACTCTGGACCCCGCCAGCTGTCGTGCTCGTCCTCATCCGAATCAGTGCCGCCCAGATGAGAGGGCGCCAGGGAGAGCAGGTCGCCACACTGCATGCGAGGCTGCGGGGTTAAGGTGGGGCGCGGGGGGGGGGGAAGAGGGGGGGTGTGAAATGAGGGGGGACAGAAGGAGGGCAGTGAGGAGAGGGCGTGCTGCCCAGGTGGGAGGGCGCCAGGGAGAGCAGGTCGCCACACTGCATGCGAGGCTGCGGGGGAAAGAGGGAAGGCGGAGGGGGAGGGGGAGGGGAAGAATGATTGGGGGGTTAGTGGGGGGGAGAGAAGATGTGCCGCCCAGATGGGAGGGCGCCAGGGAGAGCAGGTCGCCACACTGCATGCGAGGCTGCAGGGGAAAGAGGGAAAGAGGGGAGGCGGAGGGGGGGGAGGGACAAAGAATGTTTGAGGGAGTTGGGGGGAAGAAGAGGATATCTCGCCCGAATGGAAGAGCAGGTTGCCACACGGCATGCGAGGCTGTGGGAACAGAGGGTGGGTGGAGGGGAAGGGAGAAGGGGAGGGGGGGGGGGGGATGAGGGGGGACAGAAGGAGGGAAGTGAGGGGACGTGCCGGCCAGATGGGAGGGCGTCAGGGAGAGCACATTGCCACACGGCATGCGAGGCTGAAGGAAGTGGGGCGGAAGAGAAAGGAGGAGGTGAGAGGAGCGCAGGATAGAGGATAGAAACAGATGAACTTCCACATACGCCCCATGCAAAGACCTTTATCCTCCTCTATCCTGCATGCAAAGACACGCCTCTCACCTCACTGAACAGCGCAGTCTGATAATCACTGAGCACGCTGCGAATGACACTTGTCTCGATCTTATTCGCCCGCAGCCTCCTCTCTGTCCACACCTTCCGCTTCGCCTGCTTCTTCTCCCCCCTCTCACCCTCCTCCTTCCCCTTCTCCTCGTCCTCCTTCCCCTCCTCCTTCCTCTCTTCCTGTCCTTCCTTCTTCTCCTTCCCCTCTTCCTCGTCCTCCTTTCCCTCCTCTTTTTCCTCTCCCTTGCCCTCCTTTCCCTCCTCCTTCCCCTCCCCTTCCCCTTCCTCCTCCTTCCCTCCCACCTCTTCCCCTGCCCCATCCTTTCCTTTCACCCCATCCGCACCTTTCTCACCCTCACCCTCTCCTTCCTTTAAGCCCTCTCTCACCTCACTCCCTGCGTCAACCCCTCCCCTCTCACCCCCCTCACTCCCGTCATCCCCCTCTCCTTCTTTCTCCCCCACTTTCGCATCCCTCCTCTCTCCCCCTCTCTTCTGCTCCCCACCACCCAACAAAGCCGTCCCTTCATCAACATCCTCCTCCTCTCCTCTCTTTTCCACCTCCTCCTCCTTATCCCCCTCCTCACCCCCCTCCTTACCCCCATCCTCTCTCTTCTCCGCACCCCCTCCTCCCCTTCCGCCCTTCCCCCGCCCTTCCTCCGCTGCCCTTGCCTCCTCATCCGCAATCCCCCTCAAAGCCTCCTCTTCCACTTCAGCCAACTCTTCCATCCTCCTTTTAAGCACACTCGCAAACCGTTTCACATACCCAGGGTCCCTCTCCCTCCGCCGCCTCTCCTTCTCAAACAACCTCTCTATTCTCCTCAGCTTCCGTTCCGCAATCCCCAGCTCTATCCTTCTATCGCACTGTGACTTTAACGAGTTGTACTCCGTATCTAGCCCCTCCATCACCTCTCTTGCCTTCTCCAGGCCCTCTTTATAAGCACTCCGCCATGCTGGCGCTGCCATCTCATAATCCATTCGCCCAAATATCCAAGCGAGTTGCAGGTCCTCATGCTTGGGCAAGTCAGCAGCACCAGTTGAACCACCACCGGCTGCAGCAGAAGCAGAAGCACCACCAGCACCACTGCCAGCACCACTGCCAGCACCAGAAGAAGGGGTACCAGCAGTGGGAACCGCCCCTCCGCCCCCGCCCGCTGCTGTTTGTGCTCCCCCACTCACCACCCCCCCTGCTCCTCCTCCCGCTGCCCCTTCGCCTCTCCGCACGCGCATGAGGGGCAGAGGCCACTTCATACTCGGATCTTCAGGCACTGCGACTGTCAACTCCTCCTCCTCCTCCCCCCCTTTCTCCTTCTCCTCTTTCTCCTCCTTCCCCTCCTTCTCCCCCTTCTCCCCCTTCTCCCCCTTCTCCTTCTCCTCCTTCTCCTTCTCCCCCTTCTCCTCGCCATTCGCCTCTTCACCTGCCTCTCCCTTACCGTCCTTCTGCACCCCCTCCTCTTTCCCGTCTTTCTGCCCCTTCTTTCCCTTACCGTCTTTCTGCTTCCTCTCCTTCTGACCCTCGTCCTCCTGCCCCTCTCCCTTCTCCTCCTCCTGCTCCTCTCCCTTAGCCTCCTTCTGTCCCTCTTCCTTCACCTCCTTCCCAGCTTCCTTTCCCTCCTGCTCTCCCCTCTGTTTAGCCCTACCACCACCGTCAGCAGCATCCCCCATCCCTCCTCCCTCTCCCGCCTCCTCCTTCCCTCCATCCCCCACTCCTGCCTCCACCCTCCCGCCTACAGCATCCCTAAAAGGCAGCTTCGGCTCTTCCGCAACATCCTTCAAAACACGCTCGTCTAAAATGATTCTCGTGAACTCCTCATCTAGCAGTAATCTGTCAGGCAGAACAGCCTCCTTGTTCTCGTTATAGTACGCCCCCTGTTCCGCTTCTAGCAGGTACGCCTGCAGCTCCTGTATATCGCGCGCTGGCAGGAAACGCACAAAGACTGGCGACGGGGTGAACGTGACCGGAGCGCGTGCAAGAGACCCAGACCCCTTACGAGACGCATTGTGAGTTCCTTCTTCCTCAGAAGTCGTGCCTACGGAACGTTCCTTACATGCTCCCTCCTCCAATTTCTCCTTAGCGAGCCCGTCCTTATTCGGCCACTTGAGTGAATTTTCATCTGAGACGTCATGTGAACCTTCACCTGAATCTTCACCTGAAGCATGTGCCTCCTCCCCTGCAGCCCCTGTGGTAGCAGCAGCAGAAGAAATGGTGAGCGCGGAAGCAGCAGCATCAGCTGCAGCAGCAGCAGCAGCGGCAGTAGTAGCGTCAGCAACAACAGCAGCAAGAGCGTCAGTAGCAGCGGCAGCAGCAGAAGAAGAAGCTTCCGCAGAAGCAGTGGTGAGCGAGGAAGCAGCACCGTCAGCTGCAGTATTAACAACACGGGCAGCAATAGCGTCAGCGACAACGTCAGCAACAGCGGCAGCAACAGCAACAGCAGCAGCGGAAGAAGCTTCCGCAGAAGCAGTGGTGAGCGAGGCAGCAACAGCAGTAGCAGCAGCAGCAGCAGCGTTAGCAACAGCGTTAGCAATAACGGCAGCACCAGAAGAAGAATCTTCCGCAGAAGAAGCTGCTTCCGCAGAAGCAGTGGCAGCAAGAGCAGCAGCAACAGCGTCAGCAACAGCGGCAGCAACAGTGTCAAAAACATCGGCAGCAGCAGCAGGAACTTCCGTAGAAGCAGTGGTGAGCGAGGAAGCAGCACCAACAGCTGTAGTAGCATCAACAGCGGCAGCAGCAGCAGCACCAGCAGCAGCAGCAGCAGCAGAGGCAGCAGCAGCAGCATCAGACGCAGCAGCAGCAGCATCAGATGCAGCAGCAGCAGCATCAGAGGCAGCAGCAGCACCAGCAACCGCAGCATCAGACGCAGAAAGCACAACTCCAGGAGCAGCATCGCCATCACAACCACTGCTCGCACCATCCCCACCAGCCGCAACAGCTGCACCCGCCTCCTCTCCACCCTTCTCTCCTTTTCCCTCTCCACCCTTCCCTCCCTTCTCCTCCCCACCCTTCTCCCCACCCTTCTCTTCCATTTTACCTGCACTACTCCCCCCGCTCTCATCCAAACCCTTCTGCGCTCTCTCTGCCCTGCCTTCCACCTGCAACGACTGTTGAGGCATGGCAGGCGCCTCTAAAGCTCTCTCCGCCATGGCTTGCACCTGAACCATAGTATACTGCACCATACGCGCCATGTGATCCCGCGTCAGTATCCCCGCTTTAAGCATGCGCTCCACTATATGCTTAAGCCGCATCAGCTCCCGCTGCCTCTCCCTGTCCTGCACTACTGGTAGCGCCCTCGCATGCCGTCTACACTGCAGTGACTCCCCACAATGTCTGCAACCCTCTGCTGCTGCTGCTGCTGCTGCTGCCGCAGCCGCCGCAGCTGCTGCCGCTGCTGCTGCTTCCTTTTCAGTGACACTGCCCTTTTCCCCTGCACCACCACCTTCCTCTGTTCCCAACTTGCTTTCACCTACCTCTTCTTCCTCCTCCTCCTCCTCCTCCTCCTCCTCCTCATCTTCTTCGTCCTCTTTCCCACCCCTGTCACTACCCACTTTAACCTCCTTACCTTCCGCAACACCCTCCAGCTCTCTCTCCTCCTCGCCTGATTCCTTCTTCCCCTCCTCACTCGCACCTTTGGTCTCGCCTAGAGCAGCAGCCACTCCCTTTTCAATATCCACATCTACCTCCTCTACTCCTTCTTCTCCCTCCTCCGCTCCCTTCTCTGCTCCCTCCTTTGCTCCCTCCGCTTCTCCCTCCTCGGTTCCCTCCCCATCCAGCTCCATCGCACATGCTTCATCCTTCTCCTCCTCCTTCCCCTCCTTCTTCTCCTCTTCCTCCTTCGCCTCCCCTTCACCACCCTCCTCACCCCCCTTCCTCTTCCCCTCTCTCTCCTCCACACCCTTCCCACCCCTCTCCCCACCCACCCCACCACCCGCCCCACTCATCCCCTCTACAAGCCTTCTCACCGCCTCAATACCATCCACAGGTGTAACATCCAACCTCGTAAAAATCTCCTCCCAAGAAAGCGCCTCCTCCTCAGGAATCATCCTCTCCTGCTCCGCACTCAGCTTTCCTATGTGCTCCTCCTGCATGTGCGCCTGAAACGACTCCGCGTCTATAAACCTCTCGTCACACAGACAGCACGCCCAGAACTGCCAGTGCTTTCTCTCCTTGGCAAAACTCAGCGCTTCAGACATAAGCTCCTCTGCTGCCGCTGCTGCTGCCGCAGCTGACACCGCAGATTCACCACCCAAGCCAACGGTACCAACACCACTGCTGCTGATACCAGAACCGTGCCCTCCCCCTCTTCCTCCTCCTCCTCCTCCGCCTCCGCCTCCCCCTTCCCCTCCCCCTCCGCCTCCCCCTCCTGCGCCTCCCCCTCCGCCCGCACTCCCCACCCCCGCCCCCTTCCCGCCACGTGCTGACTTGGCAAGGCCCTCGCACACGTCAGCAATGGGGATATCCAGAATCTTATCCTTCTCCTCCTGCCCCAGCGCCTTCCAAAACGGTCTAACCTTCTCCACCTTCTCCTCTATAGCGGATTGCGCCCTGGCCCCGCGCCTCCCCGCCAGCACCTCCCTCCGCCTCTTCGCCCCGTCCAGCCCCCCCCGCCTCTTCCCCCCCGCGCCATCCTTCCCCCCGCGCCCTCCTCCTCCGCGTCCCCCTTCCTCTCCCCGCGCGCGGACGCGGAACCAGGCGCAGCATCCGAGGCGGGCGCGGAAGCTCCGCCTCCGCCTCCGTCCGCTCCTGCGCCCTGCCCCTGCCCCTGCCCCTGCTGCTGCTGCTGCTGCTGCTGCTGCTGGAGGAGGCGCGCGGCCGTCACGCGCACCTCGATCTCCTGGCGGCGCTCCTCCAGTGTGCGCACCACGCGCTTCACCTCGTGGATGCGCCGCGGAGGTAGCGACGCGCGCGGCTCGATAGGGTCGTCTGAGATCTTCTTCACCTGCTTTTGGAGGGGGAGGGGGGCGGGGGGGGGGAGGGGAGGGGGGAGAAAAAGGGAGGGCAGGAGGGGAGCGTTTTCAGGCGTCTCAGAACAGAACTGCTTCTGCTGCTGTACGGCCGAATTGCTCCTGCCGGCGCTCCTCAGGGGGTTTAAGGGTTTGAAAGAGCGGCACTCCTCCAGTGTGCGCACCACGCGCTTCACCTCGTGGATGCGCCGCGGAGGTAGTGATGCGCGCGGCTCGATGGGATCGTCTGAGATCTTCTTCACCTGCTTTTGGAGGGGGAGGGGGAGAGGGGGGAATAGGGGCAGGAGGGGGAGGGGGAGGGGGGATGGAAAACGTCTGAGGAAGGAAAGAGGAGGAACGGAGTAAGACGAGCGCGGCTCAATGGGGTCGCCTGAGATCTTCTTCACCTGCTTCTGAACGATACAAGGGGGAAGAGGGTTGGGCGCAAGAGGGAGCGCGGAGGCTTGAAGGCGGGAAGGGGGGAGTAAGCGCGAGGCTCGATTCTTCACCTGCATTAGAACGAGCAGGAGAGAGTTTTGGCACGGAAGGGGGAAAGGGTAGAGGGAGAAAACAAAAGCGAGGCTCTATGGGGTCGTCTAGGATCTTCTTCACCTGCTTTTGAGCGACGGGGGAGGGGAAAGGGGAAGAGGGAAGAGGGAAGGCGGAAGTGGGAACGGCGGAGATCTGAGAAGCGGGAAAGGGGAGGCACAATACACCTGGTTTGACTTTTGTGAATTCTCAAAAGGCACCTCTCGTTACACCTGCACCTCTCGCTCCTCCGCACGCGCCTAGAACGACGCTCAATCCGTAATCTACTTCACCTGCCACTATTGATTGTTTGCTAAAGTAAACGAAGATTGAAAGGAGTTCAGGATGGCGGGAGAGGAAAAAATCCCCAATCACTTCCGAGAAGCTGGGCCTTCTTTACTAAGCATCTTTCAAATACAAAACCACTCCGGGAATTCCTAAAATTACTAAACCACCAATCGGAATTTCTGCCAGAACATCCCGCTGCCTGTCAAACACCTGTAAGAACATTTCCACTAAACAAGTACATTCAAGTCTTACCTTCAGATGTTAAACCACTTGCAAATACCTGGAGAGACGTTGATATGTCTATTTGATCCCCAATTCCCGCAAACCCTTCCACAATCTCTTGCATACTCGCAGAAACTTGAAGTTCCACTGTTAGTGCCATCAACAACCAATGCCTTACAGCACCTTCCGCAGCCTCTCTCTCCCATACCTGCAAGAATTTGAACCGCTCGTCCGCGCCGTTGCCGAAGCTGCGCCAGATGGTCGAGAACGACGCGATGTTGGCCTTCTGCTGCAGCCCGCGCAGCTCGTTCTGCACGTGCGTCACGCGCTCCGCCGGCGTCGCGAGCTCCTGCTGACTCTCCTCCTGGAGACTCTCCTTCGCCGGATCCACCGGCGATTCGATCCCCAGCCCGCGCTCGCACTCGCGCAGCACCTCGCTATAGTCACGCCCGTCGGCCGCTTCGAAGAGAAGCTGCGCGTAGAAATGGGAGTATTCGACGGAGTTCGGAGAGAGTTCCGTGGCTTTAAGCGCGGATTCTAGCGCGGTGCGTAGATGGCGCTGCTTCGTGGAAGCATCTTCGATCATGTTGGCGAGTTTAAGGTGGATGTGTCCGTTCACGCGGTGGCACAGCGGAACGGACGAGAATTTCCCCGTGACTTCCTTTATAAGCTTCACCGCTTTCGGTGCGTTGCCCCGCCGAAGCGCCTTAACTGCCTTTTCGCATTCTGATTTCACCTCCGCGAATCGCGGATCTGAGGGTTCAAGGTAGCCGGGATCTCTACCCTTGGATCCTTCGTCCTGTTGCGCTGAAACCCCTCTGTCGCCTGCGCCTCGTCTGCTGCTAGCGCTACCAGATACCACCATCGCACCACGCGAACCCCCGCCTGATGCAGCGGCATCGCCGGATGTAGATTCCGATCCCTGAGACGAGCCAGATCCGGCCTTCGACGGCCGTTTCCGACCCATAATTCGTATTTTCGTGGAATAAATTGCAGTGGTTCAGCCTGATCACAGCTTAAAAAGTTAGCCGCATGATGCTTGTGAAATTCCTTGTAATCGCTATGCTTCCGTACAACGCGCGTATTGTACAACAATCAAGTCGCCATCCAACAGTATACAAGGCGTTTATTCGCGATCGGCTAAGGACGTATAGAAGCTTTTGAATGACGCAACTAAGTTGGACTCAACAGGCCCTAGAGACCTAGAAATGGTTTTGCGGAAAACCCTAGAGAGCTGCAATCACCTCGAGATCTCCACAAGTCCCCTTTTTCAGAATTTCACGCATGACCCATCGATCTGCGGGTTGAGGTGGTGGGGTCAGAGCGTGGTGTTTCCGGGCAGATCTGCGTTTCCATAAACGAGGGTGGGTGCAGGGGAGGCATGCTCTCAGAAGTTCTTATGATCTCCTGTTTGGTGAACGATTTTCCGACTAAAAGTTTCAAAATAACCTCCATGTTTGGCGCTTACACAAGCGAGCAGATAAACACTGCCTTTGAACTACAGTAATAGCAGCGGAGGTCCTTTCAAGCTCCTCCTGCAACATATGCAAGCGTGGGGGCATCCTGTCAGTTCTTTCAACCGATTCTGAAAGTGCGAGGTGGTTGTGGGAAAAACATTTTGTTGCGGGCACTCCTACATGCGATAAAAGCTGCTTCACCATGTATGACCTGTGCTGTGGTGGTGCAGCAAAATGAAACCAGCAGCTTTACCTTGAACGTTTTGATGTATCATGATCTACCATAATGAACCTTTTCAGATTTCCTAAATATCTCTCCTGGAATTTGCTCCGTCCATGCCCCGAAACACCAGTTCTCACAACCCACTCAGGTCTTGCTTCCCCTTGCAATGCGAGGAGGGTACCTGATCAGCACATTGTGGCTTGTTCCAGCAGACAGCAGTCTTGGCTAGTAGTTGGTTGATATCAATTGTGTTTAGTGAGCAATATTCCAGCTTCTCACCCAATATTTTTATTCACCAGCACCAACCCCTAGTGTGCGACAGGCAGACGATAAGTGCTGGCCTTCTCTAGCAGCACCACCCCCTAGTGTGCGCCGGGCAGACGATAAGTGCTGGCCTTCTCTAGCATCCGTCGATAGATATATTTTTTCTTTACCATCTCTAACCTTGATTCTGCCACTGATTGTTACTCCCTTCGTTCTTTAAGGTCGGAAAATCCCTATGACACGCATGGCACCGACGAATTTGTCCTGGGAAATGCTTTCCATGCATGCCTCCTTGATCTATTGCAGCGTTTCCAGCGCATCCGCTGACGTGGTGGAGGCGACTGCATTGGTGAAACAGATCAATCATCTCATTTTTTCCACGAACCTTTGCCGAATTCCGGAAGTGTGCCACTGCCATACTTCTCACCGTTCTCCACCTGCTTAACCTCTCGTGTTCATCCTGCCTCCTCGCCACTTCATGCTCACTCCTTTCCTCATCGTTCTCTCGCAAATCAATTCGACGATGATCTCCTTTTCGAGCCATCCGCCCCTCCTCTGTTCCCGGCTTGTTTTCACCCACTTCCTCTTCCTCTTCCTCTTCCTCCACCTCAACCTCTCCTGCACCCCCCTCTTTCCTACCCCTGCAACTACCAACTCTAACCTCCTTACCTTCTTCCTCACCCACCACCTCTCCCTCCTCCTTGCCTGAATCCGTTTGGGATTCTGTATTCCCACAAAATCTCCCCTTCCTCCCCTTCACGCTCCCACCTTTGGTCTGGCCAAGAGCAGCGACCTCTCCTTTTTCAATATCCACATCTCCTTCCTCTACACCCCCTCCTCCCTTCCCCGCTCCCTTATCTGCTCCCTCCTCTGCTACCTCCGCTTCTCCATCCCCATCCAACTCCATCGCACAAGCTTCATACTTCTCCTCCTCCTCCTCCTCTTCCACCTCCTTCTCACCATCACCACCGTCCTCACTCCCCTTCCTCTTCGCCTTCTCCTCATTCTCCTCCTCCTTCTCGCCACAGTCCTCACTGCCCTTCCTCTTCCCCTTCTCCTCCTTCTCGCCATCATCACCCCCCTCACTCCCCTCCCTCTTCCCCTTCTCCTCCACACCCTTCCCAACCTCCTTCCTTTTCGCCCCCTCTCTCTTCCCTGACGCGTCCCCCCTCTCCTTTCCAACAACCGCACCACCCGCCCCACTCATCCCCTCTACAAGCCTCCCCACAGCTTCATTACCATCAGACGCGAAAGCTCCTGCTCCTGCTGTGTCTGCTGCTGCGCCCTGCCCCTGCCCCTGCCCCTGCCCCTGCCCCTGCCCCTGCCCCTGCCCCTGCCCCTGCCCCTGCCCCTGCCCCTGCCCCTGCTGCTGCTGTTGTTGCTGCAGCAGGCGCGCGGCGGTGACGCGCACCTCAATCTCCTGGCGGCGCTCCTCCAGTGTGCGCACCACGCGCTTCACCTCGTGAATGCGCCGCGGCGGGGACGAGCGCGGCTCGATCGGATCATATGAGATCTTCTTCACCTGCGCGGAGGAGCAGCGAGGGGGGAAAAGGAGAGTGGGGGAGGAGGGGGGGGGGGGTGGGGGGAGGGATGGGGGAGTAGGGGGGAAGAGGAGGGGAAGGGGGGAAAGAGGGGGGAGAGAGGAGGCGTGAGGCTTGAAGGGGGAAATACGAGCACGGCTCGATTGGATCGTCTCAGATCCTCGTCTCCTGCTTTTGGGCGAACACTGGGAAAAGGGGGAGGAAAGGGGGGGAAGGGGAAAGGGGGAAGCGGGAACGGGGAAGGGAGAAGTGGGAAGGGCGGAGGCCTGAGAAGCGGTAAAGGGGGAAAATACAATAGCAGCTCTCACAACTCTCCATGCAGATTCTCATCGTTGACGCGCCTAGAACAAGGCTCAATATGAGATCAATTGATCGCTTACTAAGAAAACTGGAACAAGAAAATGGTTAACGAAGATGAAGAGTAAAAATCCTCACATGAATATAGGGATTTCTCACATGCGTCTAAAAAAACAGAGTAAAAATCTACCCATCACTGAAAAGCCTAAATTCTCCGCAAACACGTTTGAGACGCCTCAAATATCCCCAGTCACTTCCCTCAAAACAAAAACCACAAACCAGAATTCATGCTAGAAGCCTCTCAAAGAAAGGCAACAACGTCTTTACATTCAAATCTTACCTTCAAATCTTAAAACACTTGACAAATACCTGGAAACACCTCGAAACGCCTATCAACTCCCCCGACAACAACCTGTCGCATACTCGCATTGCAGGAACCTGAATTTCAGTTGTCTACCTAGTGCCGTCAATCAAATCCCTGCAAAACAATCCCACCATCCTCTCTCTCACATACCTGCAGTAACTTGAATCGCTCGTCCGCGTCTTTGCCGAAGCTGCGCCAGATGGACTAGAAAGACTCGATGTTGGCCTTCAACCCGCGCAGCTCATTCTGCACATAAACCACGCGCTCCGCTGGCGTCGTCAGCTCCTTCAGACTCTCCTTCGCCGGATCCACCGGCGATTCGATTCCCAGCCCGCGCTGGCACTCGCGCAGCACCTCGCTATAGTCACGCCCATCGGCCGCTTCGAAGAGAAGTTGCGCGTAGAAGTGGGAGTATTCGACGGAGTTCGGGGAGAGTTCCGTGGCTTTAAGCGCGGATTCTAGCGCGATGCGTAGATGGCGCTGCTTCGTGGAAGCATCTTCGATCATGTTCGCGAGTTTCAGGTGGATGTGCCCGTTCACGCGGTGGCACAGCGGAACGAACGAATATTTCCCCGTGGTTTCCTTTATAAGCTTCACCGCTTTCGGGGCGTTGCCCCGCCGAAGCGCCTTCACTGCCTTTTCGCATTCCGATTTCACCTCCGCGAATCGCGGATCTGAAGGTTCAAGGTAACCAGGACCTCTCCCCTTGAATCCTTCCTCCTGTTGCGCTGAAACCCCTCTGTCGCCTGCGCCTTGCCTGCTGCTAGAGCTACCAGATACCACCATCGCACCACGCGAACCCCCGCCTGATGCAGCGGCATCGCCGGATGTGGAGTCGGACCCCTGAGATGAGCCAGATCCGGCCTTCGACGGCCGTTTCCGACCCATGATTCTTAAAATGGTTTAATAGAATTCTTGGTTAAGTACATTCGGGCATGACCCTCGAAAATTTTTGGATCTCGTGCAAGACAAACTTGCAACATTCATGCATGCAGGTTGGATGGCACGCATGCAAGTGGTCGAATTGGACGGAATTACTATTCCATGGAGACAATCGAATCTCACATTGCTGCCAAACGGCCTTTTTGTCTCAATGTTTTTGGCGCGCGAAATACTGTAGTCATGAGATACCATCAGAAGCGTGCAAGTAAAATATGTGCTGCGCGCCAATTCCTCATGACATCTCATGCGGCTTCCTGCGGGCTGTCCTTCCTTCAAGCAGGCTTCTTGGTGTGAGTGTGCTTGCTCAGAGTACGTGAGGGTTCATTATCAGTCACTAGGGTTTCATCATCCCGCTTTGTTCCCATCTAGCAGCAGCTCCCACCACGTATCTTGCCGTGGCGTATGTCGTAACTTAGCTTAGACCTCATTAGTGGCCATCGAAACACATTAACCTCGTAACTTCCTAGATCTGTTTTCCACGTTCTGCATATAGTTCGATCATCATCGCCATGGTTAAAAAGCCCCCTGCTCGTAAGCGCGGTCTGCCCAGGGCTGAGCATGCCGCTCGCGACAACTCGGCGGACGACAACACGTCGGACAAAGGCGACGCTGAGGTCGTGGAGCATGTAGAGGCCCACCCTGTTAAGAAGCAGCGAAGCGGTGGCAAGAGGGTGTTAGGATTAGATGCGCCGGCCCCATTCCGCGTGGATACGGTTGTGCAACGACGCGAGTCCTTGCCGATCCCTCGCGACGTAATATCACCCAATGGCGTTAAAGTAAAGGTTCCAACGAAGCAGCTTCGCGGGCGGGGGCCAGTGGTAGAGGGGTTTTCCACAGCCAATATTTTCGACCAGTACGGGGATTGGACCAACCTCGGTCCATTAGACGAGCTCCACATTCAAGACAAGGAGGAACTGTCCTCTAACATCATCGACTTTCATAACATGTCAGTTCCCCACCATTTTCCCGTAGACCGTCTACATATTTTTATCGCAGGTTTTTTGTACGTATGTCTCGCTTACCCTCAACTTCTTTTATGTTGTGTTGCAGCCTTTTGTCTTTACGACAGCCCCGTCTGCCAGATGGCCGAACATGGAGGGTTATGCCTTCATCTGCATACTCTTACGTCTGCATGGAGGGTGGACTCTACGGTGGTGCTTCCGCCCACACGATACTCGACGTGGACTTCCTATGCATCATCATCCACACCGAGTAAGGAATTCGCGGTTGTGGACCGAGGTGCTTTCATCAGTCCATACTTTGCCGTTGTGGTTTTTTTATTTAGTACCACTTGTTTCTATTCTTCCCGTCTCTCTCTGTTTTGTGTTGAAAACCAGGGTTGAGGATGTTCGCCACTGGAGTCTGGTGGTAGTTACAGATCCCGGCCGTCTTCTTCTGTCCGACGAGGAGTACGCCAAGGCAACTCCACCGACTTCTGTTCTCTTCGACTCCCTCAACATCCACTTGGATATTTCGGTGCACATCTTCAACAACTTGAAAGTGTGAGCGTTTTAAGCCTTACCGGTTTTTGACATACATGTGTTTGTTTCCTATGCAAATGACTCATACTTGGTGTTGGACTAATCCGCATCACTTCACCTGATGTGCCAGCATCCTGGGTCAGGCTCTGTGGCACCGCCAGAAAGACCTGACTGAGGAGGACCTCGCATCCAGGGTTGCACGCTTCGCGTGTCTCGAGGCACCGGTAAGTCCCGTACCTACCAATAGAAGCTCTCATGCGTGCGGCGCCTTGGTGGTGCTGATCTCATGATCCTCTTGTCTGTTTGGCAGACGCACAAGATCCCGCGACAGACCGACGACTACGACTGTGGAATCTACGTGTGTATGTACTTGCACAACCTGGTCATGTCGTCCTTCGCGTCATTGGAGGGAGGTATTACCTTCCCCAAGTCTCCGCTGGCGTTCCGCCGAGAGACCCGCACCGACATGCTAGCTCTCGCGGAGGGAACGCTTATCAAAGCGCTGGTGGACAGTGGGCTTGCTGTTCCAGAGGAGAACTTCAGGGATGCGGATGCCGAGCTAGGGGATGAGGATGACATACCGGAAGTGGTTGAAGGGCGCCTCAAACAGATGGCCGGTTCCATCGCAGAGCTGAGAAGCTGGGTGAACCAGTACTCAGTCACCGTTGACGGTCTGCAGGCAACGGTCGACAGCCTGAAAGAGGCGTTGGCAGACAGGGATGCAATCATCTCCCAGATGCAGCAGGACGTAGCAGCCCTGAAGAAACTGTGTTTGCCCCGTGCAGGGTTTGCGGGTGGTAGTCCCGAGAAAGCGGCGAGCAGCCCAGCCCCTCCTGCAGGCGGCCACAGAACGATGGCGGCCCAGTCACAGCAACCCATGCACCTTGACGGGTTCAGTGCTCGGGGCGTTGCAGCTGTGGGTCAGCTGGTTACTGCGCCTACCCCAGCGCCACAGGGCGTAGAGGTTCATGCCGTGGCCACAGGTGTACAGGCAGCAGACATGAGGTCTCACCAGCCGGGCATTTCCACGGCGGGTCCAGGAGGCATGGTGCGTGCGGCGGAATTTGGAGAGGGAGAATCGGAGCGTACAGCATGCACGGGTGCACAGGCGCGGAGCTCCATGTGGACTGGAGTGCGTTTCGACACACTGAGCGGTAAGTGGCACGCAGCCATTGGACTGGAGAAGGGTAGGTCATACTCTTCGCCGTTGGGAGCATATGACTCAGAGGTAGACGCTGTTGAGGCTTATGCTGCTGCTGCACTGGTTCTGCGTAAGGGCTGGGGTCCCCCACGGGGACACGTCATGGAACTCAGGATCGAGGACCGTGCCATTCTCGAGAGTATGACTCATGACCAGGGGACCGAGCTTCTGAAGGCCAAAGCATGGCACAAGTGGCGCTCCTGGCGCCGTGAGCTGTATCCCTCTGCCTTCCTTGCAGAGACCACCGGCGGTCGCCCACTGCCATCGTCTGCAGAGCCGGCTGCCGCAGAAGAACGTGCAAGGGTGCAGGGACAGGCTGCGGCTGCCTTTAGAGTGAAGGAGGGCATGCCGGCGGCCGACTGTCAGGTGACACTCCAGCTCTGCGTGAGGTGGCTGCAGCGGAGGGTGTGATGGCATCACTTACAGCTCCAGGCAACAGGTAGATAAGAGTGGCCAGCGTCCACCGACCTTGAATTCGTTTCACTATGGCTCTGCAGTGTATCTTAGGGAACTTGCAGCCGGTATGGGAGATGGTGACTATGTCGGCATGGTGCATTTCAAATGCTGATAGGCCTTGTGACTTTCAAACGCTGCAGTGCATTTCAAATTCTACTATCTGATGGTTGGCTCGTTACTTGATTGTCGATGTGTCTCGATGATACTGGTAGTTGTTGACATCACAGCTTGCACAGATTGAGCATTATGCGTTAAGGCAGTGAGTTTATGTCTGACGCATCAAATAGTCCTCATTCTCCCTTGGAAACATGTCAAATAGATTTCCTTGCGGTTACTCAGACAAATCCATGGATTTCCAGTACATTCCACTGCGGGTGCCTGTATTGTATTCTACTTCGGGTGTTTTCCGCTGTATGTCATGCGAACCCATGAGTTCAAGATGGACCGAGCCTCAGCTGACGCGAATAGGTTGTGTTCATTAGGCTTCATGAAAACCACTTCCAGTCCGAAACCTCAAATCCGATTTGGGCTCGCGAGTGGCCGGTTGTTTTCGCGGGGTTTTCGCGTAGCTTCAAATGTTCCGTTATACTACTAGCTCGAATGTCATGTACTGCCAGTGTAATCGAGAAAATGCCTAAACAAAAACATTATCACGCCAGTGCTACAAAACAGACCATTACGTAAATACCAACGTGCGTTACAGCGAGGCACGTGCAAATATAACATCTTTAATTTCTTTGCATTAAACAACCCTTCTTGCCCTCACAATCAAGCGCAATGTGTTTCAACTCCCACATTAACGATTACGCTATTACAATGTTACTACCCAGAGTGCAACAAGGGAATGTACCCCTTGGAGTACATGGCTAGTCTGGGTCGTTTCGCATTCCTTTTGTATCTCTACATAAACCCTATGTATGCATGCTATAATCAATCTCAGTCATTTACATTCACTCTGACCTGAGTTCACTTCATCCGCTGCGACACTGCCTGCGATTAACCTTGGAGTGATCTTTCCGCCAAGTCACACTTCAGATTGTAACATACCTGAACCGCAATATCTATAACGTGGCTCGTGGTAAGTTGTGGCTCACCCGCATTGCAACGGTCGACTGTAGTCACGGATGTTAATATATGCTGCGATCAGAAGTTGATCGTAGCCCAGGATCTACCCAGGAAGGTTCGCACGCAGTGAAATAGTTGGTGGGCCCTTGACCTCAATAGCAGAGTGAATATAAAATGCTTGAGATAATAAAAACATGCAAACAAAGTGATATAAATAAGAGTACAGGGGAATACGAAACGACCTAACTAGCCATGTACTCTAAGGGGTACATTCCCTTATTCAAATTCATTCCCAACCGTGCGGCGCGTACAGTTTCGTAACTGTTCCCGCCAAAACCATCCTGCCTGCAGCTGCCCGATGCCGTCTGCTGTAACCAAATTAGACTTCACGAGTAGACTTCACGAGTCGGTTCGATTCCAACTGTCTGACGGTTCGCGTTCATTCCCGTTACTGCGTGCTTCTCTTGCTGCGGTGAGGAGTGCACAGTAATGTTAAATATTACTAATCGAAACAATATATATCAACGATTTATTCCTTCACAACAATCTATATGCCGCTGTAACCACGTTGCATGTAGATCCCGATATGCTCTGCAAAGGCTGAGAGGGGACGATGAAGTCTCTGTAGTGACCCTGAGAAGTACAAGTTGACAAGGTTCACCGCCACAGAGCCCTGCTACTGTTATTCCCCGCAGCGAGTACAACTCCTTGTGCATTGTTAAATAGGAACCACTAGGGTGTACCTCAATCCCACGGGTCACAAACAACACTCTGTGGGATGAGCTTAAACATCTCCTAAATTAATAGTGGCACTAACATGAGTTGTACGCAATGAAAGAACCAAAAACAACTTATATCCAACATCATTGCCTTGACATATTAAACTGTACATAATTCTGGGAACAGTAACAGCAAACCTCGAAACTACCCCGCCACCGTCACGATAACCCGGGTTGCCTGTCTAGCCGGCAAAAGTCAGTAACTCGCCGTTTGCCACGTCATCCCTTTCCACCCTAAACAGACGTATCCGACGCAGATCTCACTTATCCCAACTAAAACTCGGGAGGTGACGAGGTCTACTGTAACCAAAGTAGACTTCACGAGTAGACCCCCAAAAACGCACGATTGACGCCCGTGCTAAACTGCCACTAATTCATCTAATAGACGTGCTTGTACTGCCAAGCGTGCCGCTATATTCGCGATGGTTAAAAAAATCCCGACACGCTCCCCCACACATAAGGTGGCTAAGAAGCGGTCCCCGACGTCCAAGAAGGTGCCACGGCTAGATGCGCCAGCCCCGTTCCGAGTGTCCACGGTCGTAGTGGCGGATCGTCGCGACATTCCTCGAGACGCCATAACGCCTTACGGCGTTAAAGTTAAAATCCCGGATCCAGGGACCCCATGTCCCGATGTCCCTGGATTTCCTACAGAGTCGACCGTGGACCATTACGGTAATTGGACGACTCTAGCGTCGTTTGATGCGCTCTCCATCCAAGACGGCGAACAACTGACATCAAACATCATTGATTTCCACAACATGTGAGTGGACCCCGTCGTGGAAAAACCCGCATCGCCATGACATTTTTATGCATCATCATGGCCCCGAAATCTACCTGCATTTTGCCTACGATTCATCTCTTGCAGCGTGCTAAACCTGCGCCAACCTAGGCTACCAGACGGGCGAACATGGCGGGTGTTGTGTTCCGCGGCGTACACTCATTTGGTCGCGCATGGTGGACTGTGTGGCGGTGAATCGGAGCAGTCGTTGCTAGACGTTGACTTCCTCTGTGTCATCATCCATACGGGGTATGTGATCGCCTCCCTCCTGAACCGTTCGTTCCCGGTCCATAATCCAGACGCATAGTAAGACGCACCATTCATCCAACTTCACTTGCTTGCCCCCATTCAATGAAGAGATGACAACGGCGGTCACTGGAGCTTAGTGGTGGTGAAGGACCCTGGCCGTATTCTGCTGACGGATGAGGAATACAGCTCAGCAACGAACCCCCTGGCTGTTCTCATGGATTCGACAAGCATTCACCGCGCGATATCTGAGCATGTCTTCAACAACGTGAAAATGTAGGTGTTCATCACTGCGTTTATGCCCCAACTCTTGTCGTCGGTTGCGTGTTTGTCGCGACAAGTTGATCCTTTCTGTTGAATCTAATGACCATGGTATGTCCCTACGCAATGGCAGTTTACTAGGATTAGCATTGCAGCAACGCCACAAGGAACTCCCTGCGGACGTTTTGGCAGCAAGGATCGCATGGGTCGAATGCATTGAGGCCCCGGTGAGTCTCTTTGTTCAAACCACCGTGTAACACCATTTTCTTGTAAACGAGAATTGTACACTAATATGCGGACTGACGCATGAGGCTTTCTGCGCTGTTTGTTGTGCAGCCACACAGTATACCGAGACAGACCAATGGATCTGACTGCGGCATTTTCGTGTGCATGTATCTACACATGCTGGTCATCACGGCTTTCGCTGCACTGTTGCAGAGCTTCACGTTCGTGAAGTCTCCTCTCGTTTACAGGCGGGAGATCCGAGAAGATATGCTGGCACACTCTAAGGGTTTGCTGATTAGGAGGATGGTTGACGCGGGGATGACTATTCCGGAAAAGAACATCGCTGCACTTCAGAGTGTTAGAGTGGATGCGGAGGAGATGGTTCGGTACGTTGTTGACAGGCGGCTCAATGATTTGGACGCCGATATCTGCATCTTAACAAGCCAGGTTCGCGAGTACGGCGTAGCAGTAGGGAGAGTAGGAGAGGCGGTCAACCAAATAGCTGGAGCCTCCGCAGGGAGTGATGCGGTAGCCCGCAAACTGCAGCAGGAGATCACCGGTATGACGATGCAGATCGGTAATCGGGTCGCATGTGGAGCGTCTGTGGCAAAGTCGGCGCGCCATCAAGACAAGATGGAGGCTGCCACTCGAAAGCTGGAGACCATCGGGGAACATGGGGCGGAGGAAAAGGGTAAGTGGCAAGCTGGGATCGGGCTTGAAGGCCAGAAAACGAAAACCACTCTGTAGGGCAACTGGGACACAGAGAAGGATGCAGCTGAGGCGTTTGCCGCTGCGGCGGTGGTGTTGCGTCGTGCATCTCGACCACGGGGTCGAATCATTCAGCTTAGCATGAAGGACCGGGCCATTATTGACCCCATGAAGGTCAGTGAAGGTGAGGCGCTTCTTCGTGCCAGGGCCTGGCACAAGTGGCGGTCCTGGCGCAGTGAGCTGTATCCATCGAGGCAGTTGTCTGGTTATTTTGAGCGTATCTCCCCTCCGCGCACAGAAGCGCGTGCTGGGGAAGACGCTGCTGTGAGTGTGGGACTAGCAGGGGACGAGACTCCTGAGGTTAATGGGGTCGAGGGTGCTGAACTTGAAGCCAGCGAGGACTCTGATGCGTGGGCATTGTTTGAGGACCAACAGTAGGTGAGTGTGGCTATGACAAGGACAGATGTTCATCGTCACAGATATGGTAGGGTTTGAGCTGCTACTCTTCATATTAATGTGTCTCTGCAGTGAGACTCTTATGTCTGCCGTCCTGGGTTTGCGGTGAACACTTGTTGCAAACTGTATGTTCAGATTAGAAATTAGAATCTGCAACTTCTACTGAGATGTGCAGTACGTCATTCAATGGAAACTCCCGCGGTCTGATTAGAATCCGCGAATCTTAATGAGATCTAGTTCACGAGATTTAATGAAAGCTCGCTCGGGCATATTGGAATCTCAGTGACTTCCACTGAGATGTATTTCGCAACATTTAATGGAAACTCGCGCGACTACATGACGTCTCCCGTAAGATGCTGGGGGCCCGCTGCTGTTCATGATATTCCATTCGGCTCACGCGATTTCCGCACGCGCCGTATCATGTAATCCCATGTTTGCAACCATCGAAATCACGTGGTCCTTCATGGTAGCTAATGAGTTTACGTGGGGTGCAACCGTTGATCATGCGATCTCTAGTCCAGTGATGCATGTCCGCACGTGCGAATCTCGAGGTGGGTCTCTTGTCGCCATTATTAATCGATAGTCTTCCTGGATCTTGGTTTCGTTTCATGGATTGTCGTTCGCGCAATATCCAATGTTGGCGCCGCTTTTTCGTGAATTTTGATTAATTGAAACCAGAACACCGCCGCCGATTTTCAGTACTACGCACGGAGTCTCATGACAACTCGCGTGTATTATTGAATTATGGTTAGGATCCATTTACCTGCACCTGCACCTATCGTCGGTTTCTTGAGTAAGCCATTGTAATCATGACCACCAGAGAGTATGTGCACAGGGTGCGTTGCATAACACCATCACCCTGGAGTGTGTAACGTGTTATTCCTCAAAATAACATCAACGCTCACTAGTTATGTTTACCATTAGTGTTTAACAGCACTCCTAGGGTATCTTGGTGTAAAATGAGTCATGCATCTCTCGACTACTTGGCCCTACAAATACTAAACCGCGACCCCCCAAAGACTACAGACCAACCCAGGTTGTATCGCCGTCACCGTCCCTCCTTTTATGAACCGTTGGTCCGGTTCCCCTCCCCACTCATTTTCTTCCGGGCTTCGCTTCCACTCTCCCTCCATTGTTGGATGCTAGTGCCTGCTGGCATAGCAAAACGATCGTACACAATGGGAGAGTTATTGCAGAGAGGGAGGAGCGGCTTAGAGGAGCCCAGTGATGTCCCCTTTAGTGATAATAGACAGTGACACTGTACCAATGCCATGGCAGGGTACACTTATCTTCTGTGATCACTCTTGGAGCACTCAACGACCTTCATACCGTCGGTTGCTCTTTGTACTACAACTTACCGGAGTGTGGTGCCCAGCTTCAGGTCTGAGGACGTCGCCTCCTTGCCTCCGCTCCGTACAGCCCCAAGCAGCGCGACTTGTTGTGGTTTTCTGCCCTGCAGTTGCTGCACCTGTACGTCTTCTTCGGCGCCTGACCCTCCATGCGCCTCAAGGTCCTTGGGCGGCCCCGGTCACAGCGCTTGAACTGGGGTGGCTCGCACACACCCCGCAGAGGCATCGTCGTCTCGGCGACCAACCGATCCACGCACGAGCCATGGACAACCCCGGAGTACGTCTGGCGAAGCGTGGCGGTGGTGTAGAAGTCAGAGACATGGTCCATGTCGGTCGTCTGCATCTCGCGGCAAAACGCCACGACATGCGAGCACGGGAAGGCGTACTCCTTCCAGTTGCCACACTCACAGTTCTTCTTGCCAGGGCGGAGGTCCACGTTGAACGACCTCCACTCGGCAAAGTCGCGGCTGCCCAACGTCCGCACAGTGCCGTAGCCTGGGCCGCCGATGGTGACCTTGTAGTGCTTGCTACGTTCCCGTTTGTCCATGAGCCGCTTCATAGCCTTATCAGTCAGGTACTCTGTCCTCGCTCTCGCACGAGCCCCACGCTCGTACATCTTCTTGCGGTACCAGTTTCAGAGTGCGGCGATCAGGTACACGAGCGGCAGTTGCCGAATGGGGCGGATGGCAGAGTTGACGGACTCGGCCGCGTTGCTGGTGTATATGCCGTAGCGTGCGGTACTGGCGTAGACCCGTGCCCAATGCTTTGGGTGGATCCCAATGCGGTACTTCGAGCCAGCCTTGTTCTGATGGAAGCCTGTTCGCGCTCGAGCAGGGCCGTCATCCTCTACCGGCCGCTGTGGACGAGATGTGGACGGATTGGAGAACACGTTCTCGTCGGTTGTGAAATAGTCCAGACCCTCCCCAATGACGTCCTCGTCGGTCCCAGCCTGGACACCCTCGCCGAGATCAGGACATGGTTGTGTGAGATCCGGTTCTGCAGCAGGCATATCTGCGGCAGGGGCACCCGTCCCAGCTGCGTCGCCTCCGGGTGTCTCGTTGGCGGCCGCCCCCGTTCCTGCCGCAGCAGCCGGCCCTGCTGGATCCACTAGTGGAGGGAGCAAAGCTTGGGTTGTTCCAACTCCATCCGCAGCGTACCGTCGCCCATGACCAGGGAAATAGTTGTTGCGGGCTGACAGTATGATGTTGTCGATGTCGAACGGCGGGCGGCGTGCCTCCAGGTTAGGGGGGGTCGGGACAACGATGAGGGGACCCCGAGCTGGACGTGGGGCCCTGGTGTCGGGTGCCGCCTCGCTGGGCGCTCCAGCTGGGCCATTACCAGCCTCCCCATCCTCTGAACCGTCATCTACAGCCGCCCCGTCCCTTGCCTGGTCATTCCAAGCAGGCCCATCCTGTGTGTCGTTAAGACAAGACGCCCCATTCTCTGCTGCGTCATCCGCATCCGCTCCATCCTCCGCATGCACATCTCCCGCCGCCCCAGCCGCTGCAGCGTCACTCCCACCATCCACCTCCTCCTCCTCGGCAACCCCTGCCGTCCCATCTGTCGCCGTCCTCCTCGCAGCCCGCCGCTGTGCTGCCTTGCGCTGACGAAGACGCTGGGCCCGTGCACGACGGTTCATACGGGCCCGCTGGCGAATCCGGGCACGAGCCTCCTGGGTTGTCTCTTCAGGGTTGCTGGCGGGGGGCGGGGCGGATGACCCTACCCCCCCGGGCGGTGCACGTGGCCTCTCCTCCTTCCTAAACAGGTAGTCGGCCATTTTTGAGAAGTCCACGCGCGCCTCCCTCAAGAGAGCCTTCCACTTTGGCAACAAGCGGGCCTTCAGCATGCGCCAGAAGAAGATTTTCGCGTCAGTTCCCCACCGCCGGATGTTCTGCTCCAGGTGCCACCCGCAAAAGTAGTGGGGAATGGTGTCGGGGAGAAACTCCTTAGCTGCAGGGACCAAACCCTTGTCCCGGTCGCTGATGATCGCAGCGTTCTCCCGCTCCATCCATTCGGGGAACGTCTTGGTAAAGAGATCTAAGAACCAGGTCCATGAGTCCTTGTTCTAAGACTCTACGAGCGACCAAGCCAGCAGTATGATCTCCTGATTCCCGTCCAGGACAACTGCAATGAGCAGGGAGGCGCGTTGTGCACTTAGAAGAAAGGTGCCATCCAGCGCGACGACGGGTCTGCAGTGCTGCAACGCCACCCTAGACGCCGAAGGGGACACGAAAATCCGATGGAAGTGGCCGTTGTACGTGAGGATCTTCACCGATGAATGTGGGTCAATTGTCTTGAACCGTTTCGCGAGCGTCGGGAACAGTCGGAAAGAGTCGTGCCAATCCCCGTACACCTCCGTCTTGATCAGCTCTCGTAGCCTACATGCAAGGTGGACGGCCTTGAGACGGTAGTAAACATCCACTTCCATATGGCCATGTACGACGGTGGGAAAGCATGGCAGATGCATCATGCACACACGACGGTGAGAAGGTTAGATAAGGGATTGACTAACCTGTACGCTTGATGGTAGTTGCCGATGGGGCCTTTGAGAGCGGCAATCTGGGCGCATATTGTCTTGGGTGGCAGAAACAGGTCCGCACGGCCGAGATTCCCGTAAAGTCGGTAGAGAACAGCTACCCAGTTTCCCAAGCTCCTCGCACCACGAGCCTTCAGGTCCGGCGGACATGTATGCACGCGGTGATCGCTAAGGGTTCTGATAACCCACAGGCCAGTATCTCTGTCCTTTCCGTACTCGCAGTACCACTCGCAAGCCGGAGTATAACCGATTGCGGTTGCTTTGCAGATGATGAGAGCGTAGTTCTTCCGCACCGTCTCGTGGTAAATCCCGAAACCGTGGAACAATGCGTACTCCTCGACCGCATCAAGGCATTTGTCCCTAGAGGAGTAAACGTTGTTCTCTTGTAAAAAAGCGTCGTCGTCACACTCGGGAAGCTCAGGCTCAAACGCCGGCGCCCCTACCATTTTCTCAATAAGACTTTCGTAATGGCGCCCGCCGTCCATGACCGGCGACGCGGCGAAACGCACTAACTGTGAACCCTAAGTGGACTAAGCATAGACTAAGACATTCCGCTAGGTAAACCGTGAACTCGATATTGTTACTGGTTGTGAGTGATTAGTAACGAGACTTGAAGTTGCGGGATGCCTCACAACGGTTCCCGAACGGTCATTACTTTTCATGACCACGGAATGAGCGTCAAAGTCGGAAACAACGGTTTTGGTGAAATGGTGCCGAGCGTCATGCGGAACAACTGTACCTCTTAGTTGGCAAATCCAAACAGTGGATTCGAATCGTATCTGGTAGGTTTGACGAGACAAAAACCGCTGCAACTGTAGCATTGTTTCCCCTCGGAAAAATTCCGATGTCGGCCCATTACATGGAACCGAATGTACTTAACAAAAATTCACAATTCAAGTGCGGGAAAAATAAAACAAAGCGCGCTTTGCGCGATCGTGGCGATAATAAAACGAATCGCGCTTCCAAGGATTTGAGCAAAACTCTCTTGCACTGGGGACGATGGAAGTGTGTTGCAGATGTAAGTTCCTGGGGAAATTATACAAGCAGTCACACTTTTGGCCGTTTTATCACGTTTGGTCACAGGGGTATCACAAACAGTCACAGTACAGTAGATTGCTATCACGGGTGATCATAGTGCTATCACGGATGGTCAAACCTCGCCCCGAAATGCTATCACGTTTGGTCACTCGTTGAAACGATCATAAATAATTTGAAACCACAAGGGAAACAGTTGAACTTTTGGGGAATCCCAACATTGACTGCTAGTTACCTCGCGCTTTATTATAGCCTGACAATTAGGGAATTGATAGAAAAAAAATAAACCCCTATAGGATGGCACGTCCTTCGGGAGGCATCAACCCTAAACACCTTGCGACAAGGTGTTTAGGGTTGATGCTCCCGAATTATATCACATCCGAACGGGTTTTAGTTTTTTTTGTCTTGGGACAGAAAATTAACCTTAGAGTTTCACCCGTCTAAAATTGATATCTTAGGGACATTATGCATCGATCAAACACTGGACAATCGAATAGTAAAAGATATTGCAGATATTTTTTACGAGTTACCGAGAATTATCGCGAAAGTATTTCGCATTACTACGGACAAAACGGAAAACTTTCCTTGAATCCCCAGAGTGACTTGAGTAGTTTCATATTTGTATTGACAATTTCAACGAGTGACCAAACATGATACCTTTTCGCGGTGAGGGTGATCACCCGCGATAGGAATTTACTGTACTGTGACTGTTCGTGATACCCCTATGACCAGAGATAATCCGGGCAAAATTGTGACTGCTTGTATAATTTCCCAAGTTCCTGGGCAGAGCATCGTTTCCGTGAACTGGGGTAAGTTTACCTTTGTGGCCTCGAATCCTGTAACCTTCCTACACAGCATTTTTCTGGTGGTACACAAGCAGTGAGATCACAAATTTTGTACCTGTACTAGTGAGTCCTTTCGTAATCACACCTAATGCCGTTAAAGCCTGCGGCCCAAATTGCGGGCCGCGCGGGTCAACTTTATAAAACTTGACGAGCAAGTGTTTGCAAGGTTTGAAAAAAAACGTGCTTGCAATTTGGGACTTTCGGGTTCTGAACCAACCCCCAGGGCGAAATACGAGGGCGGGCTGGGTTTGGCGAAAAAAACGAAAAAAAAAATATTAAAGTTTTCGCCAAAAACCAGAGCAGAAAAACCCTATCGCGTCAAGCTTTTAAAAGTTGTTAAATTTGGGCTGCCGGCTTTAAGGGGATCGTGATACGGTGCAGGAAGGTAACGATGAAAAACCCAATAATATTCTTTCCTTGCGAACACTGCTCCTAATATGGAACACTGCCCAAAAACATGTCTCTGCGTTCGTGTTCATGGCAGTGCAGAAAGCGAATCAAGGTCGACCTCGAACGGTTTGATGAAGAATCACCGAAGTGTAAATTTCAATAATCATATCTAACAATGTTGCACCGTACTATACCCATCATTTGATTCCCCAGTAGGCTCCTTGGGAATCGCTCCATCCATGACCAAAACGCCAGGGGTTTCTTCTGGGCACATTAGCGCCTTTCCCTAAGCAAGCGAAAGGACTTACCGCCACATGCGGGTTTGTTACTGCGACTGCGCTCTCACCAATTAGTTTAGTGAGCCATATTCCAGCTCCTCACTCGATCTTTTTGTCTAACGGCGCCCCCCTAGCAGTGTGCGCTGGGCAGTCGTTGATTAGTGCTGTCTTATCTATATCCCGTCTTGCCAGCTTCTTTGTTGTATCGTCTTTAGCCTTTTTGAGATTGCCACGGGTAGACGCGTTGCACAATCGTACGTCCTGCGCTCTTCAAATTCGAGAAAATCCTAAAGCTCCACGCATGGCACGGATGAATGTGTCCTGGGGAATGCTTTCTCTGTGTGCCTTCATTATTGTTGTTTGCGGCCTTTCCGGCGCATCCGCTGACGCGACGGAGGCGACCGCATTGGTGAAACAGATTAATCACCCCTTCCTCTCTACCTTCTCGCGGATCTTCGCCGAATTCCGTACGTGTGCATGTGCATGAATTATGACATTCTCGACAAACGTAGCTTCTCAAGTTCTTTCCTCGTTCATCCTGCCTCCTCGCCACTTCGGCCTCACTCATGTTTCCCTCGTTCTGATGCTCTCGCAGTTCGAGCCGATGAGGATCTCCTTTCCGAGCCGTCCACTCTCCTCGTGCCGTCCAACATCGGATTCGAGCAAATCAAATGGGACGATTTCACGGAAGACCAGCAGAAGCGCATTTTCCGCCACCATATACTCGCGGGGCGATGGACGCTGACTGACCTGCTAAACGCACAGCCTGGGACGAATTTCACAACCAGAGATGGTGGAAGGCTAGTGACCAAAGTAAAGAAGGATCAAGAGTGTTATTTCCAGACTTACCCTCCCATGAAGATCCCGTCACCACTTAACATCCCTGCAGCAGCTTCGACGGGCAAGCTGATTGCTCATGGGGTCACGTTTGTCTTCTTGCCTCCTAATTTCTTAGCATGCCCAGCGTCAGAGGCAATTTGTGACAAGTGATTGTGGTGTTTGACACATGTGGGTGTAAGGGAAGAGCGTCCTTCATGCTGCTTGTTACGTGTAAAATGTAGAAGCTGTACCTGGTACATGAGAGAAGTCGTAACCAAGCTGGCTAAAAAGGACTGCAGGAAAGGTTATCAAGATGGAGAGTTGAGGAACCCAAGAGGAAATAGTTGCATAGAGCTGCAAGATGGGGAAACTAACCAGTGGTATGGAGTCCTGGCAGAGTTAGTGCATGAAGCAACAAGCCAATGCAAGAATACTGGAATGTCAGAATAGTAGGCTTAGGAGAAATTAGGTTTTAGGAAGAGAGAGGATGTTTGGCCAAGCAAGAAGGGGTTTGACTATGGAGAGAGTTACAAGAAATAGGGCAAGGGAAGGTGGCCAAGGGGGGTATACCACCAACAATGAAATAGATACTACACTAACTAAGCTAATATGCAGTTATACATAGAAATACAATTTCTGACATCCCCCCTTAACTGCATACAAGCATAGCTAGTGAGGGGCGCTCTACCCTAAGTGCAGACTTCACCGGGCCGCAGCTGGGCCCACCGATACAACACACGATGGAGTTTCCCGCCTGCGGTTTAACCCCCGCAGTGGATGCCTGGTGTGCGCGACTCTGGGTGACCACGCCCAGAAACGACGGAGAAAAGGAACGAACGACAAGAAAACATTACGAAAGTAGAAAACAGAAAAGAAGAGACCCTTTCTCTCTCTCTCTCTTTCGTCCCCCCTTAACCTCTCTCATCCCCCCTTAACCTCTCTCCTCTCCCCCCCCCTCTCCTCCTACCGCAACTAGTGCTGCAGGAAGAGAGGAAGAGAGAGGGGAGGGACGGGTTGCTGGAGGCTCACACCCGCCACCCCCACATCTCCCCCCCCCCCCCCCCCCCCCCCCCCCACGACAGAAGCCGCGGAAGGGAGGGCGGGGGGGTGGGGCGGCAGTAGCTGCTGCTAGCTCTGGCGGTGGCGCTGGCGCAGGCGCTGGCCGTTGCTCCGGCGCCTGGCGCTGACGTCCGCGCTGGCAGGGCACGCGCGGGGCGACGGGCAGAGCGCGCGCGGGGCAGCCGACGAAGCGCACGCGGGGCGACGGGCAGAGCGCCGGCGGGGCAGGGCGTCCGCGGGGCAGCCAACAAGGCGCACGCGGGGCCGCAGACGGGACGCGCGCAGGGCGACGGGCAGAGCGTCCGCGGGGCAGCCGACGGGGCGTCCGCGAGGCAGCCGACGTGGCACGTTCGGGGGGACGGGCAGGGCGCGCGTGACGGGCGAACGGGAAAAAAAATAGCGCATTTCGCGCTGTAGTACGGGCGGGCCCATGATTCTTAAAAATAAAATAGGTCCTAAGACCGTAGTGGCTCTGATACCATGTCAGAATAGTAGGCTTAGGAGAAATTAGGTTTTAGGAAGAGAGAGGATGTTTGGCCAAGCAAGAAGGGGTTTGACTATGGAGAGAGTTACAAGAAATAGGGCAAGGGAAGGTGGCCAAGGGGGGTATACCACCAACAATGAAATAGATACTACACTAACTAAGCTAATATGCAGTTATACATAGAAATACAATTTCTGACATGGAAGCAGACAACCATACTATGGTATGTGCTTGCATGATAAACGTGTGACTATGCTTGTACATACCTTATTGTGCTTGTGCATATAGAGCTGCTGGTTAGAGTAGATGCACCCTGCATCATTGATAAATTCTTGGTGTGGTACTACAATGCTGATGCTACCTCGGCTGACGAATTATACCGTACCCAGTTTCTAAGAAGGGTTCTGATATGTACACGAGAAGCGTTAATTAGCAAGCATGGAATACGGTTCTTTAGCGAGTGCGAGCAAGGTATCTCGGATAGGATCTCCCTCCACACTTTGTGGGGAATGGTCGGCCCAGACACTTTACTTTGACTGGGAGATTTTTGTTTCGGCGATTCCGTTCCATTCCCG